GGCAAAGACAGAGAAGGTGGAAGCTGAGCGGAAAGCAGAGGAGGAAAGATTGGCAAAGGAGAAGGAAGCGAAGGCAGAGGCAGAGAAGGTTGAAGCTCAGCGGAAAGCAGAGGAGGAAAGGTTGGCAAAGGAGAGAGAAGATAAGGCAAAGGCAGAGAAGGTTGAAGCTGAGCGGAAAGCAAAGGAGGACAGGTTGGCAAAGGAGCAGGAAGAGAAGGCAAAGGCAGAGAAGGTGGAAGCTGAGCGGAAAGCAGAGGAGGAAAGGTTGGCAAAGGAGAGAGAAGATAAGGCAAAGGCAGAAAAGGTTGAAGCTCAGCAGAAAGCAGAGGAGGAAAGGTTGGCAAAAGAGAAGGAAGAGAAGGCAAAGGCAGAACAGATTGAAGCTCAGCGGAAAGCAGAGGAGGAAAGATTGGCAAAAGAGAAGGAAGAGAAGTCAAAGGCAGACAAGACGGAAGCTGAGAGGAAAGCAGAGGAGGAAAGGTTGGCAAAGGAGAAGGAAGAGAAGGCAAAGGCAGAGCAGGTTGAAGCTGAGCGGAAAGCAGTAGAAGAAAGATTGGCAAAGGAGAAGGAAGAGAAGGCAAAGGCAGACAAGACGGAAGCTGAGAGGAAAGCAGAGGAGGAAAGGTTGGCAAAGGAGAAGGAAGCGAAGGCAAAGGAAAAGCAGTTGGCAAATGCTGCCAACATCAGCGCGGGGCCAAAGAACGCAGAGCAAATGATTGCTGCAGCGAAGGAACTTATTGAGAAGGCTGAGGCAGAGAAAAAGAAAAGGGACCCTCCTCAAGAAAGTTCTCAGGCTGATCTGAAGAAGGCGAAGACCGGCAAGGAGGGAGACAATGAAGTTGACGAAGACGATGAAGAATTACTCAAACAAGAGAAGAAGCGGCTTGCGGCTCATGCCAGGTACATGCGGTACTTCAGAAACATCCGTCGTCTTAGCCTCATCGGGGTTGCAAGCGACAATATTATATAACTTGACAGTGTTCAAATTGCTTTATGTTGCTTGATTATCGTGCTTTTTTGCTAAGACAAAGACACCCCGAAAGAACTCCGCATCATGGGTGAAGAAGCGAAAGGAAGCCATTTGTTCGCATCTTTAGATAGATCTATATCGAGACTATATTTGGAGCAATCCATGCACGCATACATTTTCCAAAGTTCATATTATGGGATCGTGGTGCCAAAAAACTAAGGTAAGTCATTGAATAGCATCTTATATGATGCTTGGTCGTCTTGCAGCGAGGGCAAATGGTCTGAGTCTAAGTTTCTCCTCAACATCCGAGAGCGGCATACGTCAAGGAGGCGGGGCGTACGCAAGTGGCTGACCGCGGCCGAGATGGATGCCATCTTTGGTCATGAAGCTGCCGAACTGATACGGGTGCGAAAATTATCAAGCGATGAGCTCAGAGCAAAGGAAGTGCGAGATCATCCAGAGCTCCCAGGGGTAAAGGAGCCAGGGGTGGGTTCTTTCCCAGCCTTTCGTGTTAATGGGTTTTTGAACACGCTCCAACAAAGGCCAAAGCATAATTTTCAAGAGGGATCTGGATAAAGTCATTGGAAGTTTTGATAGGCCTCAACACATTGTGTAAATTGCTCTCTCCGCTCTCGCAGGAGCATCAACAATTTTTTGACACTTGTGGAGGATGCGGAAGAGGAGGAACAGCAGGAAGAGTTGGATCGCCTCTACAGTGCTGTGGACAGAGACTCAAGCTCCTCATCATCAAGCTCCGGTGACAAAAAGAAAAAAAAAAGGTGCAAGTGGAAAAACCCAGGCCATGTGAACTGTTTGAAAAAAGTTGTTGTCAGTGCATATATGAGCGCAGTATGCATCAGTTTCAGTGCTGCCAATTTCCTAGTTCATATGGGGCTCCATTTTGGGGGCGATGGGATATATAGTTCAATTATGGCACCCCCCCACATAGGACCGTACAAGATCCCTTCACCCCCAAAACGGAGCCCCAGGCAAAATGGAAATTTATCATTCAGTGCATGGGCAGGACAAGAAAAGCAAAAAAAATAAGAAAAGCAAGGCAAAGAAGGAGAAGAAGGCTCGGGGAAAGGACAAGGGCAAAGATGAGGCCAAGAAGGGCGAGAATCAGGAAGGTGACAAAGAGCAGAAGGATGTGAAGGATAAGAAGGCTGCACTGGAAAAGGATGCAAAGAAGGCGTTTATCTCGTTTTCTCAAAATCACCAGTAATTATCCTCGATCTACTTTTGATAGATCTCTTTATTGCAAGCGTTGCCACCTTTCACACGAGCATGATCAGTGATGACACTTACGCAGGCCATGTCGGATGCCAGTGCCAAGATCAAGTGGGCATTGGGTTTGCTTCCTTCTCTGGAGAAATTGCGGGGGTCCCAAGTAAACCTGCTGAATCTCACCCTATCTCTTGCTCTTGCATCAATCACGATGTCAAGGAGTGACCACCTTCGTGAAGCCGTAAAGAGTGACTTCGATACAAAGAAGAAAGTTCTGGAGGCCAAAGCTTGGGGAAGTCTCTGTATGAAGTCATTGCTGTCACTAGTGCCATATGTCCCACAAAAAAAAAAGGTAATCCAACACCTGTGTGGGATCTTCGTTTGGAAGGACACGCGTGCAATGCTGCAATCGGCGTGCGATGAGAACAAGGCTGGGGCGCGGTCAATCTCACTAGAGCAATGTCAAAGACTCTGGTTCTAAATATTTTAGGAGCGGGGGCAAAGTATGGGCCAAACTGACTCCTTTCGGAAAACAAATTCTGCCTTACAAATTTGCGCCCTCAACTTGACCAGGTGACAGAATCGATGGTCAAGAACTGCAACACTGCCAGGACTGAGTTGGAAAAGGCATGCGAACCTCTCAAAGGGAAAAAGGCCAAAAAGGCCTAAGTCCCAAGTTTCCAATTTAGCTGCCAAGTATGGCCATACAGCACCCGGCTATTTGTTCTAGTGCCCCTTCCAATGAAACCATGTTTCTTATGTTTTGACAAAACACAAAGTCAACGGTCGTTTAGCGGGTGATGGCCTTGGATCCTGTGGACAGGCGCATGTGTGAGAATCCCTGTAGGGAAGCTAACCAATTGAGTTGCTGGGGGCAGGGGTACCTTGCAATCTTGTGCATAGGTCTTGGATCCTAGCGTGGGTAGGGTGCCACAGGATTCTACAACAAATCAAACATCAAGGACACCCCGCATCTTTGCAAGTTTTCAGACAGAAATTTTTGGTTGTGGCGCCAACCCATTACATCGTGGCACAACATTTTGACCAAGTGTTGATTTAAAGCCGTGTGAAGCCAGGGTAGATCCTTTGCGATAAGCGTGCGCTGAAAATCCAAAACAATATTCTGTGACCAAAGTTTCTACATGTTCATACTGTACTATTCTATGTATGATCTCCAATGGGGAAGTGTCCTCGCAGGTGATTCCAACTTTGGCCCTTTGGAGAGGGATGTCACTGAGAAACTCGCTTCTGGGGTTCCTGGGCAGAACACATCTTGGCAGTGCGAACACCAAATCCATCAGCTTATAAATGAATTTAGCGGTGCAAATACTTTGCAATTTCTATTCTATTACCCTTTGCAGGGTTGCTTTACTTCACTCGGGTGGCCTGAGGAAACAACCGCATTGTCAGCCATGAGATCAGCTCGTGCAACCTATGAGGATGCTCGGCTATAAATGATCCTGTGCAGAAGTCGCAATCTCGCGGTGCAGTGTGGCCATGGACACAATCTCGATGTTTTTAGATTTCACGGAATGGGCGCCTTCTTGATCGTGCTCCGATTTGTTTTGAGCTCTCGCTGCAACGCATCGAAAGAGTTCTCAGCGTGATCAACCTCAGACTCTTTGAGGTTCATGTTGTTCTGGCTCTTCTTCATGAAGTGCACACGCATTGATTGCCCATCCCAAGGCCAGGTACTGGCCACTGTTAACCCAGTCAGTGGGTTGGCGTGACAGTCCCTCTCAAGCGCCTGTTCCTAAGGAGTCTCGAGGATGCACCGGTCCCTGGACCGAAAAGCTTGCCAGCTATGCTCCTGGAAATGCCTCTCGCGATTTCAAGCGCAATGCTTCTTTGCCATTGGACACCAGGCTTCAACTTAGAAGTTTCAATTAAGTCAAGTATTGGAAGAGGTGCCTGTGTGCGCTTTGGAGCTTGGGTGTGGCCATGTGCGCTTTAAAGCTTGCCCATCCCATCCCATCTCACCCCACACTTGAGACAACGCCCTGAGCCCATCCCATCCAGTCCATCGTACCTGAGCCATCGCCTGATGTCATCCTTCACGCCCAGGAGCCTGTGATGGTGGAAGTGGCTGCGAAGGTGGAGACGGGGTCCACTGACTCTGGCCGAATGTGCCCTGGATTGAGGAAAAACATATCGAGATAGATTGGACAGGGTGTTCATGTTTGAATCACAAGTTGCCAAAGCCAGATTGAGGAACCTCCCAGTTATTTTGCCATACGATGTCATGGACTACCTCATTGGTTCATGCCACCTTCCCATCGATGATTTGCTACTCAACAAGTTCTGGAGCCATTTGGATTCGGTGCAGGATCCATGGGCACTGTCGACGAGTGATTTTAGAAAGGCTGCAGGCGCCAATGTGATCCCTCTTGGGTTCTATGGAGATGAGGCGTGTATTGGCTTGGTGACGGACCCTTACAACCAAATCTATGGGCTCCTTATGTCAGTGGTATTGTTTCGACCTACATCGACCAGGATGTCTCGCTTTCTTTTGTGTTCGGTGGATAGCCACCGGATAGAGTCTGCTGAAGGAACCTTTTACCCGGTATTGGAAAAGATCACGGAATCATTCAACAGACTATCATCAGAAGGGGTGCATGGACGCCGTTGTTTGGTGTCGGAAATCAGAGGTGACCAAGCTTTCTTCAAGTACATGTTCAAACATGAGTCTTGGTGGCGACATACCAATGTGTGCTTTCGCTGTCGTGCAACCTCCAAGCCAACACCCTTGAACTATTGCATTTATGAATCTGCTGATGGTTGGAACACAACATGCCGCTCAACCCAGCAATTCATTGAAGAGCAGTTGCCGCAAGACAACATCTGTGGCCTGGATTGTCTTTGTCCCGAAAAAACCTCCCAATTCCGTTGTATGGGATGGCTATGGCTACGGGCCCCTCAAATTTCCAAATCCCTGGTCTACTTTGGTGGGATGGGATAGCTCCAGTAGGATTCTCCTAGAGTAGGGCAAACACTTCTCTTGGCCATCCAGGTCCTTTGACAGACTTGGACTATTTTCACATCAGCATGTTGAAGCACTGCACCCTCCACATTTGCAATTTGACACTCCTTGGGGTGGCCAACGGATCAACCTTGAGCCTTCGATTGTGATTTAGACTTGAAAGTCTTTTAGGGTCACCCCTGAAAACGTGTTTTGAACTCAACCTTTGGAACTTTGATTTCCACTTTGTGGTCTATGATCGAAATCCAAGGGGGATGATGTTGGATGCTGGAATCTTTGGTGATGTTTCCCAGGGCTACGCTGTGGCCCTAGGGGAAGCCTACGAGAATTTCACCCGCTGGAGGAAGATCAACAAAATACAGAGCAGCCAGAAGCGATTCACACCGGGTCAGCTGTTGAGAGATGGTTATGGATTTTTCCTCAACACCAAAGGCTTTAATGCGAGGTTGATTTCTCAATGGCTGTTTGATTTGGTGAGAGCGCATCCGACTGGTGATCCAAGACATGAAATGGTAGAAGTTGCTTTGACCCTTGGACAAAATGATAGGCCCAAACGCCCTCCTTACCTAGTGGCCAACGTTGGCATTAGCCACAAAACCATCAACCAGTCGTCCCAGGACCGCTATTTGCAGATACTTCGGGCTGACTGAGCGCGCCTCAAGGTGTTTGCATCTTGGCGCAACCATGGCAGTGTGGTTGGAGGAGTCACCCCCAATTTTTTGGCTTCAAGTAAAGGTGGGTTTATATTGATTGCCCATTCTTCATTGATTCGCCAGGTCATTGGCGGAAGCTGATTCCATCGAGCAAGCCGGGAAGACGTTTCTGCTGGCATACCGGCGGCTCAACACCATGTGCTGCAGGACCATGTGAAAAAATCAACAGTGGTGCCTACAGGCTAAAGGTTCTGCCAAAGGGTCCCGAACGGTCCAACCTCGACTAACCAGGGAACTTTTCTTTTGGGTTGAAATGCTCCCTGAAAGGATGGGATGCCTAGCCTGGGTGTTGACACCCAAGTGGCATGTGCCTTGGCTGGTCGAAGTAACTGCTGCTGACCGAAGCATGTGCTATGGACCTTTGGTTGATCCGAACCACACTGTCCGAGGCAATGGCCCACGTGTTGATCGATGTTGTTCGAAAAGCCCGATGCTAGACAGCATTCATGTATACTATCCTAGGAGTCGACCTACAAAGTTTTAACTGGTATTGATGCTGCGTCGAAGCTTTTCCAAGGAACAAACCCGCGCATGCAACACACCTTCGTTGATGAAGACCAGATGCGGGTGCTCAAGAGTTGGGCCAAGAGATCGGCTGGAAAGAGAAGACCCTATGGAGTAATTTTTTTGGCCAGAATGCGCTACAAGAGTTTGCGCTGGCGAATTCCGAAGCTGAAACAAAAGAGAGGTTGAAAGAAAAAGCGATGCAGCTGATGATGTGGTGAAAACTTCGACGCAGCATATGTACTAAGTTAAACTTAGTATTTAGCAAATGCTATGTAAAACATCGTCTTAGGACTCGTAGGGTATATATATATTATGATATATTATGTATATAGCATGGGTTCTGATATGTTCTGAGCATTGTTGCTTTTCTGGGAACAACAAGGTAAAGGTAAATGACCTTCCGGATCCAAGGCTGGAACTGCTCACACATCTGCCGAGAAGCATGAACTGAGTATGTTTGATAGCCTGGACCACAAAACTCCAAATCTTCTGGAGTCATTTCGCGGCCATCCATGACTGCTCGCCGGTACCATCTGTCAAGTAGGCAAATGTAACCTGGCTTGTGGCCAGCCCTGGCAGTTTAATAAATTAATATATATATATAGAGACTGAAGGGTGTATTGTGTTACCTTGCTGAAGCACCTCAGGGACCACAACGGCCATCATGGTGCAAGGTACGGCACGTGTGTACAGTCGTAGAGGTGTTTACAAAATCACAGGAAAAATGCATTTGGGCGAGTTGGGGCTGTGCACATGTAGGGGTCTTGTTCCAGGCACAACCGGCTTCTTCGCCAATGCTTTGGGGAGGAAGTCCGCCGGAAGAGGGGTGATGTTTATTCCTTTATGGGATACATATTCAGCAAATAAGGCAGAAAACGCAACTTGAGGATCTTCCTCATTGGTATTAGTATGTTCTTTTTGGAAATCCATATTGGCTACCATGAGTCCATTCATTACGGCAAAAGACGGAAGCCAATCTAGAATAGAACGTGGTTGATTTCTGAATAAATAAATTTGTTAAATAACAACAATAACATTACGACGCACATCATTCGAGCTACCAAACCGGCAGTTGCAACCCAATTTGGTCACTGGCTCTCCAAAACCGGAGCCTCGGACGAGAGACAACAATGTCCAAGGGACGGACTTGCATCCCCTTGGGCACATCTGCAAGAGAGGAAGCTGGCACATCCCGAGGACACCTGAGCAACGATATCATCACAAACATGTGCCATCTTAGAATTGGAACAGGCTAAAGGAGAATTCACGATATATTGAGTACTTCAATACACTTGATGCTTCGAAACCAAAAGTATTCCTTCAGCTTTCAAACCCACTCGTTGCTGGTTTCTCACAACCATAGTCGCAGAACCATGACTGCATTTCTGTCGTATGTAATCTTTCACTGCTCATGATGCAATCATCTCATCCAACAGGGTTTTTTACATTACAGTAATCATTATAATTGCCGACAGCAATGCGAAAATACCAGGGCATGACTAGAAACATCACGCCAGCAATGGTTGCTTGACCAACCATCTCATGCTGCGACCCATAATTGCGAAAGGATCCACAGGGCTGTATATCCAATGTGCAATCATACCTCAGAAGAAAACAAGCCGTTTTGGAGAGTGGTTTGCAAGTCAGGACCGTGGTTCATGTTTCTTCGATTCAAAAACCAGGCAGCCGAATGCAAACGAATATATCTATCTGTGATTGCCAAGCTTCTCCAGGAGGGAATACCGACCTGCGAAACAAAGCAGAAGCTGTCGAGGCGAGCGCATCGAGTGTCCGACTTCTTTGACACGGCCTTGGCCCCTTCGGTCTTGGACTGCGCAGTGGTAAGCTAGTTGAAACGTGCCGTAACTTACTCAATGCACGGAAACATGGGAAAAACAAACAACACACAAATAATAACAACATACAGTACATCTAAAGTCTTTAATACCCCACTTGAGGCCAAACTGTTGAATTGTTTTTCTTGTGGTCTGTCTTGGCCTGACTTGCCTCAAAGCGCAACTGCTCTTTTGGCGGAGCTTGCTTGCTCAGCCGATTCTTCCGTGTGGGGCATCGAAAGGGTCTGTCCGTGTGTTGTGCACGAATGACATGAATGACATGTCTTCCGGATTTGTCATTCATGTCTTCCGGGAAGGGCTACCAGGGCCCAGCCTGCAATGGTTTCAAAGTGTTGTGCAGCAATTTCGAGGTCACGCTGCTGCTGGAACGGTGTTGTGCAGCAATACTTCTGGTCCAACCATCCTCAGCTCGACGCGGGCGGATGTGTTGTTGCATTCCAACACATCAAAACACACACCGTTTTTTTGCGCTCCACGTCAAGCATCGAGATAGCAGGAGTCCAGCGCTAGCGCGTCTGCACCTCACATTTTCCTGGACAAAGCAGGGATGTCTTGATGGAGGTGATTGTTTACCCTTGTAGCTACAGGAGTTTGTGGTTCTGTTTAGCAGCTCCGCACCAGTGTCACGTGGCAATGACACTGGATGCTGCTGACTTGTATGAGCCATCGGGTTGTCTGGGGATGTTGACCACACATCAGCGTGGGGATGAGCATGGATCTGGATATCTTGAACTATGCTAGTAGCTGCTAGCTGCGAGTACTTAGTATGTAAGATCTCAGTATGCAATCTGGACGTCGGGGGCGTCCCAAATACGGCTGAAGGCGCCTGTCAATTGTGGTCAATGGTTACCCAACAGAAGCCAATGACCGCTTTTCGTCCTGAGCCACTGCCAGGAAAGTGGAGCTGTGTGCCCAAGGTGCCAGCTGGGCGCATCTGGCACAGCTCTCACCATCCAGAAAGCTAACAGTTCTCAAAAAGGCCAACTCCTTGGCTGTCACGCAAAGCGAGGTGTAAGGCTCATGTCATCCAGTACTTCATCTGACTCCACTCCACCATGACTGTATGTGTGATCCGGCCAAGAGGTGTTCGTGTCCACATTCTCTCCTATTTGAGTTGAGACTGAGGCCATTCCTTCTCGCTCTCTCGCTCTCTCGCTCTCGCTCTCTCTGAAGCCATGTGAAACCAAGGATCGACCTTCACCATTTGCTGGTTCTGAGACCTCAGTCAGCAGGTCTTTTTCCGAACGTCTTCCTTTGCTCCCGCGAAAGAAGGGGGATGCGGACTTCAGCTTGAAGGACTTGCAAGCGGACTGGCCTATTATCAACAAATTGGGCCTCGCGAGACTCTTGGTGGAAGCTAAGTCTTGGACATCAAAAAAAGTTACTGGTGTCTGCGATCCCGCTACATCTCTGCCACAGGCTGCACCAGGGCAGGCTCTAGAACTTGTCATGATCTGCCTGCAAAATCTAAAATGTGAAAAACACCGGCCTCTCCCAGTGGTACATTTGCGTTGGCCTCTCCCCCATCTCACTTCAGAACACGACTGGACCGTTCAGCTAAGCCACCAGTGGTCAACTTGGGACTCTGACAAGCTCTGGAGATTCTTCCAGCTTGGAAATTCCCATCCCGGAGCGACTTGGAGGACGTCTTCCAGAACCATGGCTTCTCTTTGAGCCATGTGATCCTGGATTGGGCTCAGTTTCGCCGAACACGGGAGCTGTACCACCGAGAAACTCCCCGTAAGTATCCTTAGTCCTTAGTTACACTGTGCCAAACGGCCGGCAATTTGACCATGGGCCTCGAGCATCCTATATACTAGTAACCCATTCCAAAAAAGGAGTGACATCTGCCATCTTGAGGCCATGGACTGACGGCCACAAACGAGCCAAGCCTAGGGCCTGAGGCCACAAACGACCTCTTACAAAGGTAGCTCCAGCCTTAAAAAGAAACAATGCAACATCAAAGCCGGTGAGTCTCAAGCGTTCAAAAGAACACTGAGCATCTTCCTCCTCCCCCTGACCTGTTCCAAACAAGCTCCAAAACAAAACACATCCAGGACCCAAACCTTCAACCTTCCAAGCATGACTTGTTTCCTCCCATCCCCTCGCCCCTGCACTGGCCCCTTTTTGGCGCTATTCCAGGGCGGCCGTGATCTGCGCGATCCAACCTGAGGCGCTCGGCTCTCGCTCGGCCGCTCGGCTCCAGTCGCTGGGCGTGCGCGGTATTGCGCGGTGCGGCGAGGCGAACCGCGCCTTGCAGGGACTCCATGAGGCCACCATGGCCTTGGTCCGGCAGGTCTGGATGAGGCCACGGCCATGGTAAAAACACGGATGTTATGGTGGGATGTTGGTGTGGTTGGCGTGGTGTGGTAAATGGGAAGAATTGAAAAGTGATCAGAAAATTGTCAGAAATATTCAGAAATGGTGTCTTGCATGCCGGAAGTGCATGGAAGTGCATGATCTATCATCTCATTCCAAGAAAGGTGGCCAAACATTTTGCCTTGTGGGTGTCCACTCTTTGTGGCATCGAACATCCTCAGCCCCTGACTGTCTGGTTTCTCAGCATCAGCCTGGTCAAGGTCCTCCTGAAGTAGCAAAAAACATGCAAAAACCACATACAGCAGAGTGGCCCAAAGCTGTGACAACGACCATGGGACATGGAACGCAACTGCCCACTGCCCAGTAGTTAGCCAAACTTGGTGGTGCAGCCCGTAGCCTCGGCCGTCACCCCTCAACTCTGATCATCCCTCATGTGGTAATTTTGCGTGAATTTTGCATTTGGCCATAGCCCTCATTACTCAATGCCGCAATCGAACATTATCGATCATATATGACTCTGGGTTCCAGGCTTGCCCTATTCTGGCTTCCAGATCTTGTAGCACTTGAGTCAAAACCTGGCCAAATTCTGCACTACCATCTGCACTTCATCTGATTCCACGATGGCTAGGCGCCCAGCAGCGGCCACGTAGCCCCGGAACTCCAGCTGACTCAAGCCTGCATGAGTTGAAGCAAATGCTTGTTGCTTCGTGTTTGCATGCGCATCGTTGTTCCTCAACCACGCCCAGCAAGTAGACGCACCTGTTGGATCTGTTTGGGTCACCGCCACGAAACCCCCGCACCTGTCTCATCCCGCTCGACGGTCACTGCCTTGGTGGACCAGAAAGGGTCGGGCTGCAAATGAGCGAGACATGCCGCACCAACTTGTTGGACAGGGCAATAACCACCTGTTATCTTCTCCAAGGATCCTCCACAGGGGCATGGTGGTTTCTTTTTTCCAACTGTTTTGGGTTCTATTCTCACTGTTGGCGGAGAAAAAATCACCAGCCCTCCACAGACTCCGAATCATCCCTGCCATCCATTTTGGCGCGTCTGTCGGCCAAGCAGCTGCGTAGACGTGCCGAAGCCGCTCCAACGTGTCGGGGCACCGCACAGCGAAACGGTCAATGAGAACTTGCCTCGGTGTTCGAGCCGAGGCGTGGCGAAGGGCGGATTTGTAGGGCTGGTTTTGGAAGAGACTGACGACCTGACCCGAAGCTCATGGATGTTTGAAGTGCGGCGGGGTGTTCCAACAAAGTGACAATGACGTCTATAGCACAATATAGAACTCTATTTATAGAACCGCATTTGCCTCCAAAGGATTTGGATGGATTCTTTTTTTCTCTGTCTTGGGAGGTCACTTGAGACAAGTTCGATTTCTTTGGAGGTTCCGGTGCCTTCCCGCATTTTGGAATCTGCATCGGACCGACCGAAGGGGGGCGATGCTACGACCCAGTGGCGTCAGTTGATGAAGCTTCTCGATGTCCATGTAGCTGGCACCTGGACATCGAGATCTCCTTTGGACTCGGGACCTCGCCCGTGCCCTATTAAAACATTCAAATGCCAGACCTCAATACATCTCAATACCCTATGTTTAGCTGGCCACAAGGGTCTGATTTTTTGCCCTATAGGCACTGCAAATCTGACAGGTGTGAGGCATCGGTTGTAAGACTGGACGCCTGGAACCAAAAGGAACATCCAACTTGCGCCGCATGCCATGGCATGAAACATCATCCCCCATCAGGCACCTGAAACTTCTCGGCACTTCTCAGAGAAAAGCCTGGCGGATCAATCCTTCACATCCAGCGATTCAATTGTCGGTATACTCATGTACGGCAACCTGCCCCCCCAAAGCAAGGTCACATCCAGTTGGCGCAGGGAAGCTCGCATTGCTGGTGTTTCAATGTAGTATACATGACATCTGAGCGCTCACAGTCGCACGCACTGCGAGGCTGGCCTGTCACACTCGGCACCCAAAGTGGTGATGTCGGAGAGGATTCCCGTCGCCAACTCCTACAGAGTCCCATCAGGGGATGTCCCGCCCCATGTGCCGAGCAATTGAACAAAGATGTAGGGATTGTGCACCCCTAAAAGATCCTAGTATATAAGATCCCTAAACATAGGGATCCCTAAATAAAGGTGTAGCGGACGCAAAAAGAAAGGATCCCTAGGCCCGAAGCTCCAACGATCCTTTTCGTCCTGCCTCCTTCCTACGCCGATCAACATTGGTCTTTGGGGATCGGACTTAGGACCACCTGAGGTGGCCCTTTTGGTCTTAGGTGAAATTCTCTCATCGTGGACTGCGATTCAACAAGGGAGGGTTGAAGAATACAGTGCAGTTCCGAATAATTCCTAACATATCTGTCTTAACCACATAGATTGGCCCTCCGGCCGGCTTTCCATCTCAAATACCACCCCAAAGATCATAGATCTGCAAGGCTTGATGGAAGATGCTCTCTCGCGACAAAAGCCGCGGCATAGTACGCACTTCATCCAAGGGAAGCGAGATGTTGCAGCAAATTCAGACATGCCACACCATTGAATGATGCTCCGCGAAAGTCTCATAATTAATCATACTTGATATTGTCATCAATAATTTGGCAGGTACCGTGGGTGTCCATTGGATTACACTACTATCCGGGATCTCCAGCCAGGGCACACAGATGGTCGGATGGTCCAGGTATGTATTCAAGTATCTTCATCTTTGGTCGGCTCATTGCTACAACAACCCGCACATCCCGCCCACCGCTCGTGAACCATCGGCTCCTTGAGCTCGGTCACGGGCATCTCCTACAAAGCGGTCGATGGTGACCGAAGGAAGGCGTTGGTTGAAAACACTATCTGAACTTGAGGCCCTATATACATACATATATATATATATATGGAAGTTCCTTGCCAGGTGCGGTACAAGAGGAATTGAGAAAATCCGCGCAAGTAGCCTATCGGGCTTCTTGTGCTCTTGGCATGAATTTTGGTTGGCCGGCCTCTGGAAGTCTTGAAGTGAAGATAGTGAAGACACGGTCCATCTAAAATGATGCAAAACAAAAGCAAAAGTATTCAACGAAGAAGGGCGCCTTCCACTCATCTGCTGGCAAATCAGGTGAAAGCCATCGGACGCTGCTCCTTTCCACCTGTTTTTGGCCGCCAGAACATACCCGCTCAACCCCCTCAGAACTGCCACAACAAAGCAACACTTTACAAACAAATGAGATATGTTATATATACTATTAAAAAAAATTGTGGTTTACAGTAATTGATTGGTGTTGATCCATTCCCAAAAAGGACCTAGGCCTAGCACTTTCTGGGTGATCTCCAAAAACAGTTCTTGGATCGGTCCTTTGTTTCATGCTCAGCGAGGTTGATTGAAGTTGCCCAGGATACATATCAGGGATTGTGAAGTGTGCGGGCCGGTTACGAAGGTTTCGCGCAAAGAGACACCAATGCAGGCCTAAAAGAACAAACAAAGTGGGCACCAGCTGGCAACATCCTTCAGACATTACCCTTGTTGAGAGACTGACATGCTCTGATTGAAGACACTTTCATCTATGCAGGTTCATGTCTGGTGCAAGAGAAATTAAAGACCTGTCATTAATCATTTATCATATTCTACACGGTCCAAAATGACAACTCCAACAACCTGTGGCTTGGAAGCTGAGCTGTTGGAGGCTACAAGAATTACGAAACGCCTGGTGGCTTTGTGTAGCAAAACGCAAACTCTGCCCCCAATGTCCCCCAAAACGGTCAAAAACGAACCTGCCTCAGGATCCTCCGCTGCAGGCTTTGCCGGCGATTCATCTCCTCAGCCGCGATCCCACGTCCGCTGTTCTCAGCGAGGCCCCATATGATGGCTGAAGGCTGATCATTTGGATTCGCCCATTTAATTTCGGTAAATGATGATGCTACTTGCTGTGCCGTAGGTTGTCCCACTGCATGATTTGGATCCATAATGAAGGTTATCTAATGAAGGTATATACTATAATATTGTACAGTTACGGTATAATATGCTGGTCAATGTTGCCCTCACAGCATGTGCCGAACGACGGGAGGGATGGAACGTGAGCTGTGAGTCCCTGTATTGTAATGTAGACCCTCCATTAATAACCCCCCAGCCATGGAGATTGTAAAACCTCCTTCTCCATTGTCTCCATTATATTATAATCATTATATAAGCAAATGATAGCAAATGTCACTGATCCAAACCCTGTGGTTGGGGGACAGCCAAACGCGACCACACTGATCTCAGCTTACACAGCCCAAGCTTCTTGGAGCTCTTTGGCTTCCCTCAACTTCTTCGCAAATCTCGGACGTCACATCCACCGCGGCAGGTGGATCTACTCGATCACAGGCGGGGTCAGTTTCTTCGGCTAAAGAAGGCCCTCCTGGTGAGGCAGGCGCCTGCTTCACCACAGTGTTTCCTGCAACGCTTTCATGCAGGACACCATGGTGGGCAGGATGCGTGCCAGCTGGGACGGTGTCACCAAGAGTGATGGGGAGGTCAACACAAAGAACAACATGCCCACATGCAGATTCATCATCATTCATCGAAGAACTTTCAAGCTGTAATTTCCCTGGACTTTGCCCAAATCCAGGTTCCTTCCGTTCAATTATCCATCAAACACCGCCCGCCCTATACCCGCTTCCCCTATCTGCCCAGACGGGCCACCGCGCTCCTGCGGCCTGAAAGCGTCTGGTCGGCCGAAGACGCTGTGGGAGATCCGCCACCTGCCGAACATCTACGACGACTGGACGAATTAAGGCTGAACACTGGCAGCCAGTGACATCCATCGAAGCATCGAGATACCTGCATTTTCACCAAGGCAGGTTTGGCCAAAGCTGTGGAACTTCTTAGGAAGTCTGTGGAACGTCATCGACACACTAGACACACTTCTACCAATATATAGCCCCTGACTTATCTGAATTCTCTAACATGGACACCATGCTGTCAGTAGGAGACATGTTCAAACAAAAGTCAACAAAGTACTGTGAAAGTCGTAGGCCTTCCCACTTCCACCATCTTCCCATCCCTTTTCCCACCCTTGCCCCCCCAATCCGTCCACCGTCAGGTTGGGCGGCAACGGCAGGGGAGGTGGCAGCTTGGCGCGCGCGCAGGCCGCTGCGGCATCGGCCGCCGCGGGACCACCGGTGCGCCGGGGGGTCATCGGTGTCCGGGAGCGCGGAACTGGGGACGTCAAGCGTCTGCTTTGGTAGGGCATTATATGGCTTACTTATTGTGGCTATAGGCACATCTCAAAGGGGGGGGGTGCTTTTGTTGATGTAGTTGGGCTAATTGGATAGCTATAGACTTACAAGTTGACATGGCTCAACTGCAGTTTCATGTCTTTTTTTTTCCCGTCCGAGAGTGGTTTGGCCAATGGCGGACCACTAAAAGTAATGGGCTGAAGAATCCAAAGTGTTGTGTTGTGTCATTTTACCGTTATTTCTTTTTATCCGTATTCAAGGTGGTATTTCATGGGATGGAACTGGCCAGGGCCAGGGGGCTTCTGATTGCGGATTCTTTCCTAAGCCACTCCAAGTTCTTTGATTTGCTCCTGTTTTTGCTTGAGGAGCTTCGTCTAACAGGGAACATCTAGGGACGCCGTCCTACTTAGTGGTCTGATTTGCCTCCATGTGTGGAAAAAACCTCAGCGTTCCTCAATCATGACCTTCGAACGTTACATGAGAGGGGAAATAATCTTTCACCTCGGTGCCTGCCATCAAGAAGGAACGGAACAGCCAGGCCTACAAAGCATCAAATTGTTTCAGGCGAAAAAGCTCAGGACACTTGACACATCAAACAGATCCAAGCACAAACAACCAGGTCAGTCAAAGCACCTTTCTCGCACAAGTTGCTTAAAAGCCATGGCGAACCCAAGTCGGGCCAAATCATCTGCACTCCCTGGAATCATCATCGAAGTAAATGGCAAGGCCCCTTGGATGACCATTTCCCCATACCAAACAGGTGGGTTTCACTCCACGAAACCATGATGATTTCAGGAAGTGCGGCCCGAGCCCAGGTTGATCACGATTGGATGGGATTCACCCCGATTTTTTTGGGCTTAAGCGGCCTCAGTGGGTGTCCTCTCCGACGATAAACGGACTGGAAAAACTGGGCCTTGCCTGTCGCCCCGCTCACGGACTGCTGGTCGTGGAATTCCGGGGCGACAGCGGAGACAACGCCCCGGACTTCACCCGATGATGCGCGTAGGAGATCCGGTTGGTGCGTAGCATTTTGCCTTGATAGCCTGGCAGCGCCACAGATGTGGCGGCTCAGTGCCCGAGTAACTGGTGAAAGGTGCCCGACTGCTCGGAAGCTTGACCAAGGCTAGCCGGCGCTGGAGCCGAAAAAGTCGGGTGGGGGAGACTGATGTGAGTCACAGGTAATCACAGGATCTGAACAAGCATGTGCACAACGCACGAGCATGTGTACAAAGCAATCAAGAAACATCAAGAAACCCAAGCCCACCCTGAATAAGCAGCCTGTATATACAATGAAGGTTCATTAGACTTGGGGGGGGCTCTCCCACCAGTGGCTTTGGTGTCTCATATTCCTTTGGTCTGAGGTCTTTCGAGGTCTTTTCTATCCAAGCCCACACTCAACGCCCAGCCCGCCCCAGGCCGGGCAGGCGGCCGAGATCGATCCAAGGGACTGAGCTGATCGCCCCACCAATCGATGAACTCGATGTTCTGTTCCTGGGCGCCCGTATTCGAGTTTTGGGGCGATCGAGTGGGTGGGTGGAAAGGCCTACTCTCCCGCAAACGGACCACATGGAACCAAAGAATTGTCCGGTGGAAGACCATTTTCCTCTACAACCCAGTGGTTTTTGGGGTTCCATGTCAAGCTGCAGGGGAGTAACTTGCAAGTTCCACACAGGTCCACAGGCTGAGTGAAGGCGGCTTTGCCCTTTGGCCCCGGAAGGGTCAAGCATGCTTCCAATTGTCCGGATGCAGCAACATCAGTGCCCAAGATGAACAATAGTAAAGCTGGGGAGCTCGCTTGGGAAGCTCACGCTGCAGTTTGCAGTTTGTCCTTCTCAGCATTTTCATGCTGCAGAAAGAATTTTGGCCTGAGAATATTTTACTGAATGCAGTATGATTCGGACGCTTTTTCATATCTATATACTACCTGGAGTCTCCCTGAGGACTCTTATTTTAGGCCGGGCCGAAAAAAAAATGTTAAGGACCTTTTTACAATATAGTTGCCTGGCCCAAAATAAAGACCTCAGGGAGACTCCATGAGAGATTTCAATGTGTCACGAGCGGTGGCTCAAACATGAAGCCCATGCTTGTGGTCCCCGTGGTGCCGAGGAGGTGCGCCCTCCTCTCTCTCTCTCTCACACTCTTCTCTAATGTGCAGTGCAGTGTTTATTGATCATTGTTGTGCAGTGTGCAATTGATCTCCTCTGTCTCTCCCTCTCTCTCTCTCTCGTATTGCGTCAGTTCATCTCAGTGCTCAAGTCACGAGATTTGCGTTCTCCCGGTCAATGACCATGAATGCCACATTGCAAACGGTGATTTGTGGGGTTGAACCAGACTGTGGCAACCACGGTTTGTCTTCTTCTGGCGACTTGTGTGGGAAGGGCAAACGCGTTTTTGAGTGTCCGAGGACCTTTTTAGTTTCCAACCCAAACCGGGTGCGTCCGAGAAACGTATTTCCACGACCGAAACACATATTTTGGCGACCGAAGCGGATGCGTCCGACCTGTCCGACCCCCGTCCGCGCATGTTTCAAATTTTGCTGCTTTTTTTGGGTTTTGGATGGTTGGGTGCCCCGGTCAAGCCTCAAACTTGGATAGATTGAGTTCCCTGTTGGTCTACGAAATGGTCTTCTAATGTGCGGGGTGGATGGTTCAAGGGAATGGGCTGATGAATGTATAGTACACTTGCTTGCGTAGAGCATGCATCGGACTCTCGGCGCGTGTCTCTGCTATAGGTTTTGTCGCTGGAAGCCCCCATGCTAGTGGTTGGGTTTGGCAATGGCAAAACGTGTCCGGTCCCTGGCGTCGGTCTTGTGGGATTCAGAGTGTACAGAATCACCAGTGTGGGATTCGGAGTGTACAGAATCGAGGAAACTAATACTGATTCAGGTTACCATCAACAACCATGATCCATGTATCAGGTACCTTTTCTGACAGGTTGCTCCTTTTCTTTTCAATTTGGCCTTATAAAAAGGTCCTTTTCTAAATACGAGAAAAAAACAAAGGTCGGAGGAGACTCCAGGTATACACTTATGCGCCTAGAGCTTGGCAAAAAAGTAACAAATGCCCCAACGACACACCCATTGATGACATGTTTGCTCCTTCTAAGCCCCAGCAAGGCTTCATCCATCACTCCAAACAAGTTTGCTACAACGGATGGCTCTGAGCTTGGAAGACTGAGTGGCTTAGGACTTAATCTGCACCACCACTCAACGAAAATCATAGGATCAGTTTTTACATGAACATCGGCCGGTGGAGTCATCCGGATACTGAAGATCTAGACTCCCTGGAAACATCATGGAAGTGGAACATGGCCCCTGGAAAGGCCATTTTTCTTTACACGTTGTCCACTTCCATGTTTGTTGGAGGGAGTGTACATGAAACCCACCTCATTCTGTTGATGTCACCTGCACCAAGGCTCCATCATGTCCCGGGTCTCGGCATCAAGCACCTGCTCTGCGAGCTCCTGCATGGGACCATGCTGAAAGGACCCAAATTAAATTCGCCTGCCTGAAGAGCAACACATACTGTACATGAAAGTTTGTATCTTGTGCATTTGATGCTGTTCAGTCAGCTCTGGCACTAGCTCTCCGCTCTGTGCGTGGCATGTTTACTGGATGCATCTACATCTTCCACGCAATTTCTCCTCAGGTGATGTACCTTGATGATCATGCCCTGCGCAGTGCCAGTTGGGGCTTTGACGAGGAGCAAAATGTCGATCGGGGTGGGATGAGTGCTGACTCCGCGGCTAGGCCCACATGAACGTTCAAGTTGGAGATGATGAGTGGTACACAAACAACTCCTGACATGAATAGCTTCACGAAAGTACATGCATGCAGCTACATTTCCTTTAAACGTGTCTTTCCTCTATCTAGTGAATCTAGTGAGTCAGAAAGGCCGCTAACATCCTCCTTCAACACCTATACGGAGTCAATACACCAACAAAAGTCTTTCTTTAAAAGGATCCCAGTTGACAACCCTAATCCTGCAAAACGCTTATGTCATCGCACACGCTCAAAATGTCATCCCTCCAAAACTGATTAGTTGTTTCGATTTACACGGAGGATGATAATTAAATTGACCGTCCCATGCTGGCCACGCAAAATGGACTTCTTAAGACCTGATATAAGACCCTGCAAGAAGAAACACCTTGTTCCTCCTGAAGAATTGACGTATTTGTTTCAAGTGAGTGTTGAGTCAACACATCAAAGGTCTGGACCACCCTGTGACCTCTATTCGTGTCATGGCTGAACCCCAAATGCAGTTGACTCCTCCAACTCCAACATGAAAAGGTGTAAAGGATCAGGCAACATATCTAACACTCTAAATTGTCTTACATCCCTACACAGCTCCTGTGGTTCCTCTTCGCCAAGCATACACTTCACCCGCTTCAACCGCAACCAACCGATCCAAAGCTCGGCCTCGCACGAGGCGGCACATGACCTCGCTGATCTGCATGGTCCGAGGCTGGGAGATCTCTAAATAGTTGATGACCTCGGATACATCACGGTTTGCCCCGTCTCTGCGACAGAAGGGGTCACGGGTGGATATACTATACAGTTGAGGAGCATATACTGGAAAACCGCGTTCTTTGGGGGGCGAAGCTATAGGAGTTTGGAGCCCGCCAAGCAGCAAGATTCCACCCAACACCCACACATAGTTCATCTTGGGTCACCATCTGGCGGATTTACACCGGCCCACCGTTCGTTGGCATTGCAGGGCCTGACAACGTTCCAAGTCAGAAGGGATGTCCGAGGAGTCCGATCTACTTATTGGAATGTGCGGCTTTTCTCCCCCCACCCACCCCTGGCGGTCTGAAGTGTCTATCTCCCCAGCGGCAGTGAACTGCTCCGAGCGTTCGCGGAGGATCCTTGAGGCCCGTGCGAACACACGACGCGCACGTGGTGCGTTTTGGAAGGAGGGTGAAGCATCCGATCCAACTTCCGGTGAAAGTAAGGCGTTGCTGGGTTCCATGGGGGTGATTTATATAGTGGATTTGGCTGGTGAACATGGGATCTGGATGGATCGTGGCTCTTATTTGGTGGATCTTCAATCATCATTCGGCGGACATGTCCGACGATGTGGGAACTAGTCCGCGGTGCAAATCTTCCGTCTGTGTTGGACGCAACTCGTGCACTGACGGTTCAGGTGGATGGTGGGACCTGGGATAGGAATCCAGTATGGAATGGCATCAGGACGTAAAAAATTGACAAAGGGCATTCTTCTGCAAGAAGCACTTTGCAGTAAGACTGCATGCTCATAGGCCCCGGGGCTGAGAGAACATGCGAGAACGGACCTGGTCAGAATCTGAAGAGGCTCAAAAGGCTCAATTGGATGCCTGAGGTATCCTGAAATGTTGACATCAAACCAGGACGGTCGCACAAAATCATGTTATTGAAATCCGTACAATTCCGTGTACACATGCGTAGACGAACGACTGCTTGTCTGAGGTCGTTTAGCTAAATTCTAGGTTGTTTAAATTGCACATGCCTCACTTATCGGTGTGTGGGGTCATACCACAACGAGGAATGTGTTGTAGAGTCTGATCAGCGCCCACCGAAGACTCAACCTGCCTAGGGCTCCCATCTGTTCCCACAGATCTCGCCAAGCAGCTGGTTCTCCATGTCATCCTCGCAAGTCGATGCATCTAACTGAACAAATTAGGGACCAGCGATATTCGATTATTTAGGAAATGGTGGGACTAAGGAAACACATGGTCCCTGAATTCTTCTTCTTGTAGGGGGTGGGGAGCTAAACCCGAGCAGGCCCAAGAGATCGGCTCCAAAGATTCTAAAGGTCGGTGTTGTTCCCAAACAACCCTGCAATCCAATCAACAGGTCAACATTGAAGGGACATTTGGAAAACTTAGTGAGAAAGAGTGGGAACGCCCTTTTGAGGAGCATTGCTCCAAGCAAAACCCAACTTGGTTGAACCGATTAATCAAAAGCATCCCGTTTGTGGATCCAACGTATAACCGGGAACCCCCAAGTGCAAAAACAGCTTGCCAAACGCAGGTGGGCTTCTCCAGCTTGCCAAGTTGCACCCAAACATGCCCAATCTATTCCAAGACTCAATGATCTTATCCAGCTTAGCAATCTCCGCATCTGCCACGTTCTTCACCTCCAGCAGCTTGCCACGGGCCTCAAGCCGTGGACGGTCCTTCTGCGGAGTGCACGTGCTGGGGCTGCAAAACGTACCCTAAGCTCCAAGGACCTGCTTAGAAGGTTTTTGGGGTGGGTTTAGAGGGTCCAAATACCTTCTAAGGAGGTACTTGGAGCCCTAGGGGTAGTAGATGACTAGGAAGAGTTAGGAGCGAAGTCGTTCTCCGAAATGAAAGCACCCTCTTTTGCACCCCTTAGTAGCCTTAGTGGCAATTTGTGAGGCCCACACCAGAGCATCCTGCCCTCCAAAAAGCCTTCAATGTATAGGTGGACAATTTTGGGCCATCCAAAGGTCATCCAGAGGGACACCTCTTGGGTGATCCACCTATACACCAGAGGTGACACCTTGGGAGGTGTACATGCCTTGGGTCATCCCGGTGAACACCTGGGGTCTTGGGTCATCCAGAGGTGTCACCGGCCTCTTCCAGCTTCGCCAAACGCACCACCAGCTCCTGCACGGTCTTCGCATGTTGGTGTGGCTTCTGGGTGGTGAATGTAGAAGTCATCGGTTAGTATACCGTACACACTCCGACTCACTAACATGGAAATGGAAAATGGCCACTGTGACTACCTTTTTCTTCTACAAACAGGTGGTTTTCCACTTCCATGTTAGTGAGTCAGAGGGTAGTTGGTTGGCTGGAAGGTTGCGAGGCTGACATGTATCTTGAAACCATCCACGTGGAAAAAAAAGCTCGCATGCCAGCATGTGAAAATCCATAGGAATCCACCATCCATGAAAGGCTACAAACAAAATAACTCTACTGGTTGGAGTTTTCGACCCACTTGAAACATATTAGTCAGAGGGTCCAATCATCCCCAAGTAAGGGTTGAAAATAAACATATCCGAAACCATCACCTAGTCTAGTGCCTTGGGTTCCTTGCAGATCTCATGCCCAAACCAGTTAGACCTAACAATCATCCCTTGATCGTGAACACCCCCACGACTTAAAGCTCCCCACCTACCACATCCGACCACCTACCACCCCGTCCCTCGCGATCCGCACGAAGCGCCGAACCTTCGGTCTGACCGGCGTCCTCCGGCTTGGGCACGGTCGCTAGGATGATCCACGCTTGCCGCGTGGCCCAGGGTGTTCGAGGTGGGTAGGACTCTGCGATGCAAAACCTGGACGTCACAGTTATGGACGTAACGGATGCGACATCTGACATCTGGATTGATTTGGAAAAAGCTACAAAAAGGCCCCACTGGAGGCCTCACATGAATATATAAAAATAAGTAATATATATCTTGCCAACCGATACTGAAAGCATGAAAACCCTTCGCTCAGAATCGCACGCTGTGGGAGGCGCACCAGTGAAGCAAAACACAGCCAAATGCAAGGATGTTGACTTGGGCGTGAACCGCATCCTAGATGATATGACTGATATGAACCGCATCGGTGGCAGCATCTTTTGCCAAGGAACTCATACTTGCAGGTCTCAAGGTTCTTCTGCAAGGTCACGTGCTCGCAATTCCCCAGATTCCAAACGGTTCCGAAGGTCTCCACAGACCACTCAAACAAACCTCAGCTTTTTCCTACGCAACAAAAGAAGAATTTCGGGTGGCCCCACAGGGACACGAAACAGTTGAATGGGCTGGCAAGTTTCATTCGTACTATTTGGCATTCACATCTATAAATACTATACATTAACAGCAGTTGCAGCACCAAAGCTTCTTCCATGCCGGCCAGGCACACATGAGCATCAAACGGATGGTTAATCCATGTGTCACCACCAGGCAAAGGTCGTACTTCACCTGCATGGATGCTGCATGCCATCCTCATAAAATCTTCCCACAATCTTTCCACATCTTACCACCCCAAAACAGCCACCCGGATCAATCACCGTTCACCGTTTCAAAAAACCCCGGCCTCGTCCCGGGTCAGCATGCCATTGCCCGTGAAGTCCCCGAAGAGCTTGTCCCAAAACTGGGTCACCCGGTCAAAGACGTCGGCCGAGCTCTCGGCATTCGGGCGCCTGGGTACGATCGCACGCGCAGAGCAAGCGGACTGAGTGAGTGAGTTCGGACTGAATGGCGAGCTCAAAGGAGAAAATCGTTTGACATATTATGACCTTGGACCATGTTGCGTTTTGGAGTGGTTGTCCCTGTCATGGCACTAATTATGCATGAGTTTTCTAAATTCAGAATGACGTGTGAGGTGTGTTTTTTTCATGCAGTTTAGGTATGGCCGAAACTGAAACCTATAAACTATTGTCTACTTGAACTGTTTTGCACCTCCTCTACCTTCTCGTCACGAGCAGAACCCGTAGTGCGCAAGACCGACTATAAGCTTCTGCCAGGCCTATAGTAGAAGCGCCCAACTCGAACTTCCTCTACTCTGACCTGGAAAGAGCATCTGAGGCAAAGCCCAACTGCCCCGGCCCATAGAGCCACAAACTGGAGACAACATCCAACATCACCCGACGAGATTCATTCCATGCGTCCATGCGCACCTCAATATGCGCAAAGAGCTGGGAGATCTCAGGCTCCCTTGTCTCTCTAATACAGTCACGAAATGTTAAGGAACTGGCCAGGATGCCCAAGCACCACAAACCACCAGCCTGATCCTCCCACATGCCACATGCCACCCCCAGGCCGCATTCGCACTCCTTCGCGCCCTGCAAGCACCTTCTGGGTCAAGCCTGGATCTTGGAAGTTCCCGAACTCCTGCGATCGGGAGACACCGGAGGGACCAGTCTGCTTCCGCAGGATCCAGTCTGAGGGGACCACCATGACCGGTGCCGACCGGGAGGATCTGGGAGGGGACGACGTGGGCTCAACGAGCAACGCATGAACAGCATGGGATCTGAACAGCACCTCAACGCTGGAAACTGATGGCAGGTCTCATCATTAAACGCAACCCTTAGAGATCTTATAGCTCCATTTCAACCAATAAGAATAAAGAAATAACACCTCTTATAATCTCTTATAGCTCCATTTAAACCAACAAAACAAAAGAACGTTGGAGCCAACGGTGTGGGAACGTCGCGGTTGAAAGCAGCACTGGGCATGAAGTGCCCTGGGCATTGCTCCTGTTCTCGGATCTGTGGATCGACGTGCACCCGCTGCACCAGCTCCTGGGTCCGGCCGGGCTGGGGGAACTTGAAGGACCTATACATACCTATACTGATGACACTCACTTCCCCAAGCTAACGTGGGGACTCCAGAACTGGATCATGTGGAAGATCTGCCTCTTCTGAGTGAGGGCTACATCAGTTTGGAGGGGGTGTAGTTAAGGAGCTGAAGACACACTTAAGAGGGGGTGGCTCTGAATGGAAAAAAACTCAGTGACCTCAGTGTGTCACTCTTGATGGTCAGCCTGGAGAAAGTCGGCCGTTTGGATCCTCCTTTCATTGAGCTGAGAACACACAAACACACCAATATATATATATATATTAATGCGTTTTGTTGAGGTATGTCAGTCCGGCATTTTATACAACCTCGGGATAGCAATCGTAGTTCCAGCTGTACTTTTGTACTTGAAGAATGACTTAGAACCCACTTGGCTAGCCGCATCAATACATAGCGGTTCACGAATTGCCGATCCCTGTCGCAAAGCTCAGTCCTGATTCGGCCCGCCAAAGCCTCCACTGTACACGGCCAACAGCGTCTGAGTCGTCCTGCACAGCAAGACCAGCACATGTGCGCGATGAAAGGCCGGGCAGGGTTGAGCTTTAGAGGAAATCCCACAAATGAAAGTTAGGTTGGTGTATATATATATATATACACATGTCTTTTTGATGTGTTTTTGTGCGCATGGAGCCTACCCGGGCTCAAACCATGTTTATCAATGTTTCAGAAAATCTAAGAACACAACTGATCCTGGCGCTACTCACTCTTCAGCACCGCCCTCAGTAAAACATGAACTCCTTGTGTAACCCTAAACCCTATACCCATGGCACGTGTTTCTCCACCCGACTGGCACGTGTTTCTGCAGGCTCTCCACCCATCCGCGGTCCTCTCGAAGGGCGAGGTGCAAACGATGATGTTCGCATCCGGAGGAGTGATGGCTTGGAGCCGCTGGCCCGCCTCCCGCGCCTGGGGGTTGCGGGCCTCCAGGTCTCCTCCTCCTCGTGTTTTTTCGGTTGGCCCTTTTTTGGGGGAGGGCATCAAAGGTTGATTGTATACAGGGCAACCAGGAGGAACACCAAATCCATGACCAGTCTGGAAAGCCTAATAATTTTGTGCATCCTGCCATCGGAAACATCCCAACAGTCTTAGAGGGGACGTTTGTGAGTGTGTGTGTTGTGAGATGGCCTTCTCCACTCTGTTGCACGTAAGGAAGAATCTGCTCAAAAGGTTCCATCAGAAGCAAGTAACCCAGCAATTTCCATCGCATGAACAGCACCCGAGTATTGCCCCGACATGGGCTAGGAGAAGAATACTCCCTGCAGCTTTCATCCCTGGGCTCTCAGCTTGATGTTGCTTGCAACATGTGCTGGAACCGATTGGAATTCGCAAATCCTTTGGCAAACAAAGCACTGTTCATCAATTGATTTACTGGCGAAGCTTCCAATAGGCCAGGCAAGCATCGAAGCGGGTTTTGGTTCTTTCAGGTATCAATCACAGGCGGTTGACCCAAGAAATGGGGTGAGGAGCATAAAGCCACATACATGCAACAAGCACCGTGCTGCACCGTACTGCAGTGAAAACATGCAGTTGCACTCAAGAGCTTTCACTTTGTGGGAGCCATCCAAAAGGCCTGGCGGATGCCCTTCTTGGTCAGCTCCAATCGGCTGTCACCCTTGCTGGTGTAGAGCAGGTGATCCACATTGCCCTCGCTTTGTCCGTGTCTTAGCAGCACGATCCTGGCGCAAAACTGCTCCCTCTCACTCACTCACTCACTCACTCACTCACTCTCTCTCTGTCTCTGTCTCTGTCTCTCTCTCTCTCTCTCTCTCTCTCTCTTTCCGTTTCTTGAGAGTACCCAAGTCCAGGCCACGGACTGCAGTCCTGTCTGGCAACTTTTCCCATGCCTCAGGAGGAAATGTGAAACGGAGCTAGCTACAACATAATACATAATAATATATATATATATATGCGACACATATTCCGACATATGCACATATTTAATGTATATAAATAATATGATATATATATATAATACTATTATATAAATTATATCTGAGATATACCTTTCATCCGCGGAGCACTACACGGACCTTAATAATGTGTGAAGGCAAGAGACATCTTACATAATGTTCAAACTCTTCGGTCAAGTCGGGCCTGGAATTGCCACAGTGATGGCCTGGTAATAGCGACCATCCAGCAAACTAAAACCGCTTGAAGAAAAGAAACAGCACATGGCTTTGAAAAGCAGGGCCACCCGCCCTGGCTGCCCTGCCATGGGTGGCTCATCTGCCCTGAGCTTCACACCAGCTGCGTGGTCCGCTTTTCGATGGCTTTCATGGCCTGAGCGGGCGAAGATTCTTCCAATGTCCAATACCAAGACGATTCAGACGATCCTGCTGTTTGGATGTCCCACTACTTGGGGATCTCCAAATAGGACACCCGCGTGTTGGATGCTGTTTAGGTAGGTTGGATGTCCGATGGAATGCCCTACACTACTTGGGGATCGGACCCTATAGGACACACGTGCACTTGGATGTTGTTTCGGAGTTTAGGCATGTCCGAAACAAATCTTCATCACTGTCCTTCTGCAGCATTCTGCAGCCCTCCATCCAGAAACAGTTCCAACTGTGTTTGGATATGGGCACCAATTACCCCATCTTCCCCAGGGAGAGATCAAACTTCGGACCCTCATCGTGGTCTACAGTTTATAATGAACTCCCTGGCCATCCGTCTATCATAACTGCCACCCCACACTCCATCGCACCACATCACACCCTTTCCTATCTAAGAGCTGCTTGCTTCCATCACTTTGTGGCTACCACCAGATGCTCTCCTTCCCAGCCTGGTCAAACTGCCCATCTTCCAATCGCCCGAGGAAGTCCTCCATCTCCATGGCGGTCGCGTCCGCGCGACGTGTCGTCGCGTCCGGTCACGTCCGCGGGACCGCAGCGATGAGGATTTTGACTGTCCAGTATTGGCAGGAAACCTCTTGACTGGAGAAAGGTGTGTTGGCAAAGAAACACTTATATTATACAGCTAATGATACAGTTTTATTTTTTTAATATCTTTTTGCCAACACACCTAGTGTTTTGTGTTCGCTCTTGACTTGGCAAACGGTCTTTCTGCATGCTGTGAGTCTGTGAGTTGCAATTGTTGGGATGCAACTGAACAAATCGACGGCGACTCGTTGGATGTGACTTTACACTCACAAGCATGCAGAAATGACAGTAGAATTCTTAGGATACTTGGAAGGTGCCAGGGTGCCATAGGTTCTAATGTGCAGTTTTCCTGGGTTCGATTCCACTGGTTCCACGTTTCTACGCTACCTTTTCTCGAAAGCTCCAGAAAGGCGCGCTAAGGGCTCACAACTTTGATGTGGACACTGCGATGGAAATCCTTTGGTAAAAATAATGGAAGCCGGCAAGAACGCGCAACCTCTGTATCGACATCGTCAGTCAGAAAGTTACGTATGCCTCTGTGGTTGGTAGCTTCAATGCAAACAACTAACACAATTATGAATCAAACATGTGTTGCACATATTCATCCATCTAATCTATGTACATATACTGTAGTTGATTTATAGATCAATACGTACATAGAACCGGTTGATCTTTCATATATTGACTTTATGTCACATGATTATAAAACACACACACCAATCCGTTTGCACAAAGGTTCCTTTTCCAAGCGCAGATGCATTTTTCTCAAGTGGCTTCCTCCTCCAAGGCCAGCCACCCTCCAGCTGAGGCCAGCCACATAGGAACCAACCCCCTTTCACCACTTCTAGAGGAATACCTGAAAACTACTCTGAGACTGTTTTGGGAATCAGTTAGCAAGAATTTCATTAAATTAGGTCCAATCACCGAATGCCTAATCATCCTAATCTATATACGTCCCTCTCCTCTGGTTACCTTGAAGCCTTTTAGAGTGCACTACTACGTTTCGTCACCTCCACGAGCATGGGCCCCAGGTCTGACTCATCAGCTGGCTGCCGGTACTTCTGCCGGCGCCTCCGGTACCGCTGCCACCGGCGCCGCGGGTACCGCGGCCGGTGCGACGGCCGGGGCGGTCGCGGCCGGCGCGACGGCGGGTGCGGCCGCCAGCGCGGCCGAGAGGGCACCCGGCATGGCCAAGGTGAGGGCCTGGGCGTCCTCGTTCTCCATGGCGTCGTTGTGGTTGGGCCGTGGCCCCCGGCGACCGTCTCGGGAAGTCCTTGGGAGAGTCATTGAAGTCAGGTGCTTTTAGGAGTGGACCACAGCAGGGAGAACGTTGATGCAAGACCCTGGCAGAAGTGCCTGTCAAGAAACAATCAAGGATCGTCCTTTAATTGACAACTGAACCTCCGCAGTTAGAAAACAAACTTCGTGGTTGTCTGGTTATGTTGGGAGCCGGCTTTGGAAAGTGAGTTGTGGTGAAACCGAGGAACTCGACGTATCTCTTCTAAGAATGCCCAGGTGTACGAGCCTTACGAGCATCATTGGGGGGCATGCCGCTTCAGGCACCTCTGCTCGGGATGCTAGAAATAGCCCATGTATGCGATAACTCTCGTCTCAAGTGCGTGATGATGCCACTGCTAATGAACAACATCCGGCACCTCAATAGGTGAGTGTTAACAAACATATATACATACTCAAACATGGTCGAAACATGAAACAACACCCCACATATCCCCAAATACATCAGGAGTTCGATGGATTTCATGGGGTTGCACCATAAATTCCATATTTCTACCGCTTCTCAAGTAGTGACGTCTTGGCCTGGCTCCCCGCCTTTCTCCGGTGCACTTCTGGGCTTCCCCGGCCAGCTGCGGTCGCGGTCATCCACTTCTATCCCGTTGGTCCGAAGCAGCTTCCGGAGCTTATCGGCCTCCACTGCTGGGCCCATATGGGCCAATATGGACAGACTATCATACTTGGATCTGGATCTATAACTATTTGTCTCAAACCCATCAAAGGGATGTTGTCTCATTTTGGGAGGAGACCAGGTCTTAGATTGGCACATCTAGATATGCAATCTAAAAAGGCACCGTTCTGAAACTTTTTGTGCCTACTTCGTGATATGTTTTGTCGACCACGACTGAAATAGCCAATGGAAGTGCAAAATGGCTCCTTGGATGACCAATTTCCTCTTCAAATTCCACAATGCAGCGGCCGAAAGTCACTCAAGGATCTTAAGGATGGACTTTCGGAGGCTTCCAGTTGGTTTCATTTTGAAAACTAATCAATCGGCAGGCTTAGGCACAAAAAGGGATTCTGCTGGGTTGGATCGGCTCGATTGGTGGACCACATGGTATCAACAGGTTGTTGCAACCCTTCTCGTCATTCCATCATAGTTGGGGCTGTCGTGTTTTTGAATGTCATCTGGCAATCATGGTTGATAGAAAGCAAGGATAAACTTGTATCGTATTGGGCGGGCTAAGCCACTACTGTAGGCACTGCACTAGGCCGTCCGAATTCCAAAGAGTTGCGGTCGAAGGAGTCGACGAACGAGCACCTCTGCATAGTTCTTGTCTATCCGAGCTTTTTTCTCGTTCGATCAGACCTAAGCGTTCGTTCGATAGCTCGCACGTGGACCACCAGTCAGGACAACCCTTGGAGGAACAAAACAAGATGCGCTGTGGCGCTGCTGGGGCAGTGATACTGTTGATGGACCATGTCCTCTGCCATAGATATCGCATGATATTGTCCATGATGTGGTGCAGGATCGGGGAGCTGTCTCCAAAAGTGAACCACGGATGAACAACGGCTTTTTGCCTATTTGATTTCGTTGCTGGCCCAATCAGCGGACCAAGAAATAATCATCTTGGCTGATTCCCTTGCAGCTTTCGCAGCCACAGGTACCTCGGCTTGCCTATAATATCCTATAATTATACTTCCTCTGCCCTTTTCGAAGGATCTGCAACCATCATCACTGGTCTAAAAGCCAGTGAACAGGAAAAAGGTGGTGGACACAGGTCTAAGATGTTTTTCTCTATGTTAAACATATTTAAAATTGGGATTGTTCTCTTCCATCCACTTCACTTCCATGATTGTTGGGGGGGGATACTAAACCGTTGATTCACTTCCTCCGCCCATCAGCGACAAAGGGCGGTTTGTGATCCAGGCGTTGGAGGGGCCAGTGGCCTTGGGAACGGGGCTGCGGGTCCTTTGTCGGTGAAGGTCGCCATTGGTTTGGTGGAACGGGCGCGGTGGAAGTGTGGGTGCTCTCCGTATCGTACGGAATGGGCGTACCATGGCGTACCATTGCGCTTGATGAGGCATAAGAATAAATGTGTTGGAATGATTCCGATTCAACTTCTCCTACACAAAATCTCACAAAATACATCACTTTCAGAATCTCGTCCTTTTCCTGCTAGGCCAAGCAAGTTCTGAGGACCTGCCTCAAGCAAAGGAGCCAGTCCTTTTCCCATCCTTGAACCCATCGGCGCTTGGTCTTCGTCTGCTGCACTCGACCTCGACATACCTCGACCAAACTCCGACATCTGTGGGGATCACGTGACGATCGGTGTCAAGTGCGAGGCCCTTCGAGATCTTGCAGTGGCTGGTCCGGCTGGTCCGGGGCTGGTCGTGCAGCAAGTGAAAGCAATGGTAGGGGGGGGGATCAACCTAACAAGGTGGCGACGGAGTAGGTCCAAAAAGTCACCGAGTGCACTAAGCTTTGCTCATTGTAGCGCCGCATTTGGACCGAGAGGTCGTTGATATCCAGCGACTCTGCCATGCACATGAGGTCCGGCAAGTTGGAGAAGTAGGTGATCCCCGGAAATCGCGCGAAGTCTGAGTATTGATACCAATAGCGCATGGCATCGAAGCGCACGCCGCGCCGGAGCCACCAGGTCCCTTTGCGCATGCGCGTCCAATCGTTGGAGTCCAAGGGGGACATCTGGAAAGGTGTGTACGGATGCCAAGGCTCAGGATGTTTGGGCTGAGCCCGTTGGGGCACGAAGGCGGATGTCTTGGAGCTGGCACTTCGACGGATCACGCCCATCGAGGTATAGGAGTCTTCATCGGTCCTGTTTTCCGCCACGGCCAGGAAATACCTGGAGGATGAAACACTTTGGCAGCCATAACAATGAATCTGGAACTACATCTCCCTGCATTGTGTCAACATGCCTAAAGTTCTAATCTCCGTGTTTCTTGCTTGGCTTTGGTTCCACTCATCTTGCGGAAAACAAAAAAACCTGATTATATAATTAGATATAATATGTACAGCGACCAGTCCCAACAACACCATCACTCAAAACACATTCTGCAGTCTGGAAGTGGACATGATGAAACTCACCTTCCATGCGTAGGATTCCGTTGGCAGGCCTCAGGCCCCTTCGCCTTGGATAAACAATAGAAAGTTGTAAGGAACTACAGCAACGCCGAGAGGCTGCATGTCTTGGATCAGCTCCAGCGCTGCTTTCAGATATTGCTTCGCTGTGTCCAGGTCCTATTTGGTTCGGAGTGGACTCTTGAGATTCGAGATGGGCCAAGTCTTTCACCATCCCCCCCAAAAGGCGGCATAGGCAAAGGCCTAGGCATGCAAAACAAAAGAATTAAATACACTCCCACATGGGGTTGTCCTCACAGGGTGATGACGTCAAAGGGTCGATGTGGGCACCTTCCAGGGTGTAATTAAACAGAACAAGTTTGCCGATTGAAGGGATCAATCAATTAATTCAACCATCAAACAAAACTAGAAAGCCGGGACATCGGGGACTCTCATTCTGAATGGATTGTAGAGCTTCAAATCCCATGTGCAATGTAGATCCATCATGATCCATCTAGCAAAACTCTCAGCCTGAGCCTTGAAATGTTTGAAATTCGATTGGGAACTCCATCCAGAAGGACAATCATCCTGATTGATTGATGCTTCGCTCACAACGCTTTGCCACATGCACCGCCAATTCCCTCCGGTCCCCAACCACAAATCCATCCAACCAAATCCGTCCAATCCCTCAATCCCAGCAACTTGGCCAAAACTGCAGTAAGTACGCTGAGTGCAGTTCCAGTTCCAAACAAAGGCCACTCCCAATAAACCACTCCCATCCTATCAATTCCTTACTCTGTCTGCCTATCCCATCCACTCGTCATCCCAGCCCTCCCAGCCCTGCTCCGCTCCGCTCGGCTCTCCGCTCCTGCGCTTCGAGGCCCCTGGTCAGCACATCCTCCGCCACGCCCCGCGCTGCCTTCGCCGAGCCCAGGCCTCCCGCCGGCGACGAGGCGCCCGGCGCCTGGGAGGCGGGCTCCTCCGGGGCGAGAGGTGGTGACCTGCATGACCTGGTGGCCTTCAGTTGGGGGGGAGCGATATACCCAAGTGATGTACCACCCCCCAAAAAAATGAATGAGAAGAAGGAAATGGATGAGTTGCTGGATGTTCCGATGATTTCATGGATCCATGTGGTCAAAGACCATTTTAGCATATTTTAGCCATCCTGCGTTGAAGAACGCAGGGAAGTAGTCTTGTCTCAATCCGTCTGATGCATGACCAGTTCCCCTCCTGGTCTGCAAAGCGAGCAACTGGCACCGTGTAGCCTTCGGAACAATGAGGGCTTCAATGGGGGCCCGCAGCTGGGAGTGCGGCGACGAACGGTTCAAAGCACCGTTCGAACGTGCAAAAAAGACCGGCCATGACACGGGCCCCGAGGGAAAAAAAAGGGACACAACAAGTACACGTTGCAACATGCCTATAGGGGCTAAACACCGGTTTCGACCCCGCAGCTGCGGGTGGTAAAAAGAAAGGCAATATGGGCTCAACGAGTTGCTTTTGGCGTTGAAGGAGCCCAAGGTGCTTTGTTTTGTCTACATTATCGGAAAGGTATTGTCATCTCCGTAAAAACTACAATATCCACACATGCAAAGGTTAAACATAGTTAATTTCAGCTCGTTCCAACAGCAAAGTGAGGTGGCAAACGCAAACACCTCATTGAGCTTGACATACAACATCATACAACTTATTGTAACATAGTTCATGCACATGCACCATCATGCACCTTCAAATGCGTTCTCTGAAACTCATGCTTCACCCTCGGGTGACATCCAAGTTGCCAGGCATCGTGGTTTGGTAGATGCGCTCCCCGACTGAGAGCTGGCCTCTTTGGTAGAGGAGCCGGTACCTGAGTTGTTCGGTGTTTGCTAGCGAAGTGTACAAGTGATTTTCAAGACTTCAACGGGGCCAAGGCCCCTCCAATCCTGTGTGGCAAAGTAATTCCTGCCTGGAAAGCACACAGGATTTTCTGCCGCGATGCATCCACTCGGTGCCAGGCATTAGGAGGGGGATGGTTGCAGTGTAGAGCTCATAGAAAGTCATGAGCGCATGATCCCAAGGGATAAGGGCAACAGCTTTGAAGCTCCCCACTTGTGAGTAGGACAGGTGCTCGTCTTCCTTCAGGGTGGCCTAGGGGCCTAGGGCATCCTAAACTCGCGAGGAAGATTTGTTTGGCACACAAACTCAGGAGCAAGAAAAACAGGAAACAATGCGTAGCTTGAGCAAGTGAAAACTAGTGAAAACAGTTCTGGCAAACTGCTGTTGCATGTGCCTGGAATTCCCTAAGACTCATAATCACACACACACATTATATACACCTCAAAGGATTGATTCCACATGGATCCTGCTTGCAGTTTCAGCCGGACATGGGGTGAGTGTAGACTGGAAACGTCATGAACACGTTGTATGGCATGTTGAAGACCAGCTCAGGCCCAGACCCGCTGTCCTCCATGAAATGAAACTTCATGCGAAGCTGAGGGTTTGCCACTGAGAAGTGCATCATGGCACATCTGGTGGTGACATAGCTGAAGAGTGGCGCCCTCCAGATGAGGATCTCCTCGGGCTTGGTCGGAGCATAGCCCATGTTGGTGTAGAGGCCATGCGCGCGAACATACGGCATGCGGTAGCCAGTTTGATAGTAAATCTGTTCGGAAAGAATCAAATTGTTCACAGCCATCTGAGCAGCAGGTTGTCCGGGCCTCTTGGGCTCCAGAAGGGCTACGAGCCTCTCCCAAAATAGATCCATGTCATCTGGTGGACAGTTGTTCAGCAATGCCACACCCAAATAGCCAAGCAAAGGCAACCTAGGCAGCTCAAATCGGACCCTCAGAAGCTCATGCACGATTTCTCCAGAAGTTCCGATTTCAATCATCAGTGAAAGTCAGAGTCTCACCGCTCTTCTCTTTCTTTTCTTCTAAAGTTCTATGGTCCAATGGTTCACTTTAATATCTACAGTAAATATATACATCAACCGCCATGTGACGGCCAGACTTTCCCACCCCGGTGCCCGCTCTCCCCCGGTGCCTCCGGTTCCTGGCACGGGCCGAGTCCAACATCATCAAACACCCGGCCAATGGCTCGGTACAGAGGATCAGCTCGGCCTCCCGAAGCCCACGATCTGCTTGGTAGATCTGGTCCACCTAGAGCAAAGTGCGGGACCCCCCACCCATCCGCGGACCTGGCGGTTTCGGGGGTCAAAGCAACAAACAAGCTGTACCAAGCTGAGGACACCAAAGAAACATGTAACATCAACTACAGTGGTTTCAGAGGCTCTGATGGCACTTGCACCCCAAGATGTCCTTGGATAGGGGTCCAATGGGGTCCACATTCATTCTAAACCACCTAGCTTGGAAATAACTTGCGCCATCTACTGAGTCTACTCAGCCTACCCACGTGTACCGGGGTGGAGTAACGGGCAGCTCTTAGCAGGTCTCGTCTCGTCTCGTGTCTCGGGCCAAGAGCCCTCCAAAAGGTGATCCTGACCTCTCGGGTCTGTGGTGGTTGGAGGTCTGTCGGGCGGTGGTCTGTGGGACCGTGGGTGTCAGGCTCAGGTGGTTGGAAAGGATGGAACGTGTTTCTTCTCATGAACTGCAGGGACGCTGACCACGCAAAAATCAGGCCCACCTGAGATGACATGATCTCCCAGCTGTACCTCAGGTGGTTCATCGATAAACGCAGGTGGAGCTTGCTGCGTTTGGTGGTTTGGGTCATCAAAGGCCATCGACCGAGCCGTACCCCAAAACGGTTTCAACATGGCCCATGATGGACATGGAACATCATGGAACAGAACGGCAAGACATCTTTTGTTTCCACTCATCAACCTCACAAGCCAATCCATGAGAATTCCATGAGGGTCTTCCTGTCAGGCCAATATGTTTCATCTTAGATTTTGTTTGATTGGCAGCAGCATCTTCAGCCTAGGTACGCATAGGGGTCCTTCTCTGCATCCTTGAAGAGTTTCCCTAATGCCTCTGTACCCTGGTCACACATCCCCAAGATCTGACACCATCGTGCTTCCAGGCCATAGAAGACCTTAGATTTCACCCACACAAAACAAAGGGCAAGCAATCCCACTTGGTATAGTAACGCACATCTTAACATTGAATATGTCAAAAGGCACTGCCTCCAATTATACTGTAGTCAAATTCCATTATGTGTGGGTATGGAGGTCGAAAGTTGAAAGTGCTCCGCAGATCTTCGAAACCCCAAACACTTCAAACGATCATTGGGGCAAAGGCGATCAGGCGGCCAAAGGCGATCAGGATGCTAAACGGGCACCAAGGGCACAGCCTCCTCACTTTTTGTGAAGCAATGACTGCGACCCCAAACCCGAACCCATTCAATTGTTCTTTCTTTGGGGGGGGGCGGTTCAAGTGTAACACTAAGGCGCTCAGTCAATCCAAGAGACAGGAGCCACCTGCACACCAGAGAGGAACCGCCGCAGCATCTCTACCGGCTCCAGAGAGAGTGTGGCATGAGATCCAACCACTGCAAGACGAATCTTCTTGGGGAGCTGTGTCTTTTCCTGGGCATCTGTTTCCTAGTCCTAGCCTCTTCATGGTGAACAACGGGCGAGGACTGTGGCACGGGTTTATTTCCTTAATATGTATATATGTATATAGTAACTGTAGAGCAGCTTGCATTTTCCCCACTCAGAGTTCACATCCTTCTGCCATAAATAGCTCAAACACAAAAACATCAATGCATCATCATGGTCATATAATGTCATATACACCCAACCAGAGGCAAAATAACGCCAAACGTTTGGAGGATGTGCCTCGACGGGCGTGGGCGGGTTGGGCAGCCTCCGGCCAGCTCCACGAATTCCAAGTGGCCAATTCCACTGGAGGCTGCCAATGCAAGGACTTCAAGGGCACCGAAGGTGGTGTCACTGGTTGCTGTATCGCGTAGGCTTCATAGCTCATGAAGTTGGTCTCATTGATGTTGATGAAGGCATCCTCATCGTAATGCATTTGCCACTAGAATTTCAGAACCCCAAAGCAAACATATACATCAACTCTTTTTGGACGGCCTCCATTCAGGGTAAGGCAACTGGTTTGGAATCTCGTGAGGAAGCACGGATGAGAAGAGAACTCACTATGACATGTCTGGCAATCGCTCATGATGCTGATCCCTTCTTCAATACACAGAAGCATCCACGTCAGCACATCGGTCAGGCATCAATGATCGAGAAGGGCCAAGGAGAGGAATCCAAGAAATCCATCGATCCTTCCTTCCCAAGCCTCAGAGCTGCTCAACGGGACGGGTCAACGGGGCGGTGGGCGTGGAATCCAGTGGTCCGTGGAATCCACATATTGAGCCCCATCTTTTCTGATGCTCAGACCACATATTTTCTGAGGAATATTGAGCTCCAACATTCCATGCAAACCAGAACTCAAGGTTCGACAAGCTCAGGTCTTCGATGCACTCCAGGCAAAAAGCTTAGAAGCTTAGAACTGCTACCAGGTGGCACGGTGGTGGCATATCCAAAGTCCATGTCTGCTGACTTCTGGTCCTCCCTCTCAGCCGAGCCCATCAAATGCCGCGACTGCACGATGAGCGCTGCGACAAACCCCCAGAGGCAGAAGCGGTCGGCCAAGGGCCAAGGGGTTTCCGGTCCACTACCTGGGAGCCGGCGACGTCAGTTGGCTGGACTCAATGGATGACTCCGGTTGAGTCACAGCAGCACCCAAGATGCTGGGGACGGGGTTGGATGAAGATCTGGGCTTCATGGATTGGAGTGTTGTAGGACTATGGGATGTCTTTTGCGCATCTGTTTTGCCCAGTGTTGTGTAATTCTCCGATATTGAGGGTTTGCTCAGCAGCACTCGCTTCCCCTTGCTCCAGTGCGTCATGTTTGACTGCAAAAGATGGGGGCCTTTCCGGAATAAAAATCAAGTCCATTGGCCATTGGCTGTAGTCATCTGAATCAAACCAAGGCACAAAGGTACTTGAAGAAATCCTGTGGTGGATACGGCTTGTCCTGCCCGAGCGGAGGCCAAAGACTGGTCGAACGTTCACTGGGGGCACCTGGTGTTGCTGGACCGTGGTGTGCCTGAGATTCCTCAATGGAAAGCCCTCCAGCATGGACCGGGCCCACTCTGAATTCCAGAAACGGCCCAATCAGCTTTCAAGCTGAGCGTTGGATCATCGAATGAGTGTGCTCTTCGGTGCTAGGCACACCTCCAGCACACCATTTTACCATATAAAACGGATACTGGAACTGCATTTTATACATGTCAACCCTCCCCATTTGATAGAGAATCAGCGGGTGTATTTTACCATATTTTACCTGCTTCTCTGTTGTTTCGGTGAATTTATTTCACTTCCCCCAAACCAACCGGCAACGCCTGCCACTGCTGCAGGATCCACTGCGCTTGTCCCAGCAAGGCATCGTCGGTCTGGAAGCCCTTCGCTCGATTCTCTGTGGTCGCCTCCAGGAAGGCCGCCCACTCGGGCATCCCACGGCAGGTGAAGGGCTGTGGCACCAAAACACCGCAGCTTCCCAGGAAATCGCGCGCATCGCGTGAAGCTCCTCCGGCGCAGGTCGTCGCGCATGCGACAATCGCCAATCCCAGTGTAGCCAAACGGGCCATGCTGGCGGCGTGGTGGCTTGCACTCGACTCAGACTGTGGATTTGTTCTGTGCTTGAAACTGGCTGTGCACCTGGTCCCAGATGGCCCAGAAGTGTCAAAAGAGTCGGAGTGGTGGTCTTCATGGAGGCGGTGTCTGGAGGCTCTGAAGGCTAAGCGGTCTTCATGGCTTATTCTGCCTCCTCTTGGAAAGGCATGCTATCCACTGAACAGTTTGTTTAAAACTGCTTTGCTCACGAAAATCCTTTTCGGACTTGGATCGAAATCAATGACGTGAGCGCGTGCAGCAATCCTGTGATGGTCAAGTGTCAAGCCAAACGCCGCCCGGGCGACAATTGTGGATTATGATAATACATTTGAGGCATCAGAATCAAATCGTGCATCTCATGAAGAGCTCGACTTCTTAAACCCTCCTTCTGGCACTCCGTTGTGTCTCAGTGTGCGAATGACACAATCGAAAGGCATTGCAAAGTGGAAGTGCTCTGACAAAATGCTGGTGCCCTTTAAACGCGACTGCAATTTTGGCTGCTGTTGGATTGCAATGAGTTTCACTTTGGGCTGCTTCCAGTTGACTATATGATGGTATGTCATTTGACTCCGCGGGGCATGCAGAGGCACCGCCTGCTCCGCCTGCGGATGGAATGATGGGACCTGCCTCTACAAGGATGGTGCAGTAACAAGGGCCTCCATCTGGCCGACCACATCATGGCTAGGCTGGAAGACTTGTAAAAAGAGAATCCCAATCTGCCCTCCTTGCTGCCAAAGGCACTGCTACCAAAGGATAACCTGAGATCACCTCAGAGCTAACCCATGCGGCGCTTCAAAATCTTCTGACTTGTTGCATCACGCCACTGGCCTATGTGATTGACTCAATCAAATCCACGCATGATGACAAATTCCCCAACACATCTTTCCACATGGCGGCCAGCCCACCAAAATACGGTGAGACTCCTCAGCCATTCTCGGTCTCGTCTGGGATGCCCTGACGGTCGCCAAACCACCGGCTCCAGCCTGCAAAGGTGAGACCTGGCGCTCATGACGGCGACAACCCGTCGCCGACCCGAGAAACACACGCGTTTGAATTATACATGGTCTTTTGCTGAGAGAATGGACTTCTCATGTTTGAAAACACATCCAAATCTTATCGAACATCATCCATGTAGTAAATAGATCACAGGGATGATGGCCTCAATCTGCGGGTTGCATCGTTGCTTGTATCAGGATATCAGGAGATGCTCATGTACATGTTGCATGAATCGCAGCTAACTGCTTTTATACCCCCCTCAGCACATTTGGTTCCAGGGCTAAGCCAGATTTTGGGGATTTGAGCCAAGAGCCTTGAGGGATCTTGAGAGGTATCTTGCAATATGTTGCCCACAGGAAGCACGAAAAATCCTGAGGAGGCTAGAAAATTTGTGCCGACAGAAGAAACATGTCCTTGGGACATGCCAGTTGCTGGCAGAAAACTGCTAAAGGCAGCGACACACAACAACAATGATGAGTCAATGATGGCCATGTGGCGTGCTCGACGTGCTATGACACCTGCACCAGCCAAAAAGGTCCTCAACCGAACTCAGGTCTCGGAGGCCACTCGGCAAAGCATCTTTCCAGTGTGGCCCCCGATGAAGAGCTTCTGCAGCGCGTTTGGAAAGGCCTCAATGCCCTCTTGGATGTCCTCATGAATCCTCAAGTAGCCCCGGTAGTGGAGCCATGCGAGTTGGCACATGGCACCTGCGCCAGAAGAAGCAAAAGCCATCATTGACTGACTGAATAACTTGATCTGCTTCAAACTTAGGGCGTTGACTTGAAGTCTCAGCCACCCCCAATTTGCCACAAAAGCACGCCACCACCGAACCTGAAGCTTTCTCCGGATCCTGGCCTGGGACCGAGGACATGTACTGCATCACATTGAAGCCCTTCATGGTGGCACCACGCTCGGCCAGCTTCAAATAGTTCCTGGGACCCTCCACCTGGCATTTTCAGATTTGATGCCATATTTGGACTTGCTTCTTCTCCTACAAAAGGATTCTGATGTCACCTTCATGTCGGTTCATCCCTCCCAGCCCGGATCCAAGAACCTGCCCATCTGTCTCTTCCCTGTGCTAGATCCAAGAAGGGGCCATCTGCCTCTAGGAGTTAATCATAAGCTTCATAAGCTGTCATCCGGTGAACGATGTAGCCCAAACCAATAATTGTGTAATCACATGTAATCACCATTAATTTGCATTAATTATAAGCGTGAAAGACCATGCATACCTGGACCAGCCAAAAAAAGATCGTCAATGGACTACCATTGCCCTGCTTTCTGACTGTTTCATATCCCCGAAAATCCTACCATTGCAACCCCAGCACATCTACTCTCAAGGACAGCGATCCAGAACTACTCCCCGAAAAAGGTTGCACTTCCATGACTTTTGCCAAGGGAGTATTCATGACCATCCTCACCTGCCCCCCCTTTCCGCCACCTTGCCCTTGTTCAAATTTCCAGAGTATTGGCTCACAGCACCACAAATCACCACTCGGCCACCAGCTCGGATGCGATCCAATATGACATCCTTGGTTGAGGGCACCCGGAAACTCTCAGAGCCACATCTCCGTCAGAAACACTGGACGAACATCGAGCGCACATGGTTGAAGGAAAGCCGGTCTTACCATAAATTTGACATCTGAGTCAGGGTCATACTACCATACCTCAAATAGTTTGGCCTAAGCACCAGCGTCTGGCCACCCACATTGTCAAAGAAAAAGTCCACTCCATCTGGCGCTATCTCGTCCAGCTGCTTGCCCATTGGGATCTCGCTCTTGTAATCAACGGCCCCATCGAGCTGAAGGGTGTCTTTCCTCACATGGCCATATGGGTGTGTTGTTTTTTCCACTGGGGGCCCCTTAGCCCTGGCTGACCAGACTGGTCCCGAACCTTCCAATGGGAGTTGAACTGGGAGGTCTCCATCTTCGAATACACACCCACATCACATCACATCGAGAATTTGAGTCTGCCACAAACCGCGGCCTGTCCAGTAAGCTGCATGCATCCCCAAGCCCCAGTGACAGCTTGTTTCATGTCCCAGCTCCTATCAATGGCTCGTTTTTGGGCTCTTGTTGTTGCCACAGCGGCCAGGACGCCAATTGCTATTCACTAAGCTTGATTCAGGATGCTCGCATGTGGCTTCTGCTCATGACCTAATTTGGTTTTGGTTCACCTGCATTCACTCTGGGTTCGGTATCAACTTCCCTGCAATACCAATATACTATATAATATATATATATATATACTAATACTCCTCGTGCTCCATTGTTTCCTCGTACCTTCACAGGGGATCGAGGATATATCTCAACAGATTTACAACAGCCGCCGAAAACATGTCGAAAAGAACAACTTCAAATTCCAAGGCGAGGTGAGTAGCGAGTGACTACTGACAAACGGACAAAGCACCAAAGCACCGAGCTGCAGGAATTTGCACTTCTCAGCGCCACCTACCCAGAAAAATGCAAAGGATGCATCTGAAAACCATCAAACAATCCTTTCAAGTTGAAAAACAAAAGACCGACGCTCCCAAATTCTTCATCCACAGCAGTTCAAGCCACTTCCATCCATTTCTCCTTTTCTTCTTCTTCTCCTTCTTCTCCTTCTTCTTCTTCTTCCTCCCCCCCTTCACTGTTGGACTACGCATGGTGTGCGCGCCTGCGATGCCGATGACCCGCGCGCCGTTGGACTTCGCCAGCTGCGCCGCCAAGCAGCCGACAGCGCCCGCGGCAGCGCTGACGACGCAGGTCTCGTGGGAAGCCGGGGCGGAGAGGACCTGCGCGCGGAGCGGCAAACAGAGAGATCGGTGGGCTAGTAGCGATGCCAGGAGCTACTAACTAGTAGGTTTTGGAGGAAAAAAGATGAGAAGACTGACATGTTGGGATACTTTTTTCAGATCCCCCTTGGAAGGTTTCCTCTTGATTGGGCTAGAATGAGCGAGAATGAGTAGAACAGGCCAAAACCAATCTACTGCATGTGAGTCGATGAGAGCTTTTGACTTGCTATCAATGTGCGTTCTTTGGGAGAGAAACACCGAATTTCGGCACCGGCCTGGCCTTAAAAAAACAACTCTGCGATTCATGAATCAACACATCTACCGTTGAGCTGTGCCAACCTACTATGGGAAGACCAAAAGAATTCCACCAGGTCAATGCCGTTTTCTATTCGTTTCCTGATGCCGTTTCTATCGGCGCCGGCCTTGAAAATGCCCATGTAGGCGGTGAGCCCTGTGGTGAGCCCGAAGAGGTTCAGCATCGCTTCGGGGCGATGCAAAGGGATTTTCATGAAGGGATGCACTCCGCGCATGCCACCCACCTGAAGCGCGAACTTCGAGGAGATGAAGGGGCCAGGGTAGGAACTTTCTCCATGTGTTTTATGTTTAAATATATTCTTACAAGCCGTTGGCCGCCCCAAAGGGGTGCAAACAGAAGTGGTGATCCTCAAAGACACATGACGGTGGTCCTGTAGTTCGGTCATATTGTTCCAAGAACCTCGCAACAAACGTTGATTTTCACCCGTTTGTTGATCGCTTTTGAGTGGGGCGACCACTGGATCGCCTGAGGTGAGGAACACCTGAAGGAAGTCTGATTGGTATGGCACGATATAACTTCATAACTGCAAGATTAGTGGTCAATATGCTCCAGACTCTTAACACTATACACCTGCATGGTTGCTGGCCAGAATGCACCACCTTGACATCAGGAACTCCAACATCATGAACAACAGGATATCCTTCCAAACATGTTTTAAGCCAAGTCAGTCTGTAGTACAAGATGCTACTCAAAGGCAATCAAAGGCATCAGTCCACGGCCGCTACGCTGGTTGTCAATGGCAAAAAACACCAAACGATGCCGACACACTAATTATGGTGGACGTTGCGCCCTGTCCATGCAGCAGGACAAGTAGATGTCACCTCAAACCAAGTATCTCCGATCATGAGTTTGGACCAAGCTAGCCGCTAGCCTTCTTTAGAATGATTTTGGGAAGCTGGTGGTCTCCGTGAGTTGTGTCTGGAAGTTGCATATATTTATATACTGCATATACTGTAATATACAGTATATGACAAGTAGTAGAATTTAAGACCACCATCTGCGGGTGACCTACGGTCAGCTCCCACTCCAAGGAAGTCATGAAAGACTACTCAGAGCTGGTGCCGATCCTTCGTACTGATCATTAAATATCAAAGAGACAAGGAGCTCCATCCCCAAAAACGTATCCTCCACACATTTCACCTTGTAACTCTTGCTCTCACAGGTGCATGGCTCTTTTTCTATCTTGACACACCTGGAGCATTGGCATACATGCAACGATGGATCACTGTGGATCACTGCGGATCAATCTATGGTACATCTGCACAGTTCCTCTCCACTTGATTCCACTTCATGTGGCACACTTTGGTACTCAACTCCCGAACTGGCTCTTTCGACGGATCACGATGTGCACGCCGCTGGAAGTCGAGGCGGAACACGTGGTGCGCTGTCTCTTCGGCTTCGGCTCGTCGCTCGCCTCGCTGGGCGGCTTGATGCTCTCGTCGATGCTCGGGCAAGCCGGTGGCTTGGGAGCATCACAAAGCTCTGGGAGCTCTGGGAGCTCGGCTTCGGCTTCAGCTGGAGGGTTGAGATGGTCCACCTCATCAGTTCAAAATGCTGGGATCGAATCAAGAAGAAAGACCATACAAAGAACATATGACAGTATTGAGTGATATTGAGTGGATCGACTTATCTTAGCTATATGGCTATATATAATCAATATGCTCTGATAGTGTTGGTAAGCAGCCACACCTCTGTTGCCCCATCCAACTGTTCCCGTTCTTCTTCGTCGCCCTCGAAGGCATCGGTCTCCTCGGAATCCTCCTCGGTCTCTTCGTCGCCCGAAGAGAGGCTCGGACGGTCGAGCGACGCCCCCTCGGGCGTGCCGGGGGCGAAGGTAAAGCCAGGCACCGCAGGCACCGCCGGAGCGTCAGCGGGATCGCCTCCAGCTTCACAGGCATCGTCTGCACCTTGCAATGGTGTTGCAGTAGTCAAACTTAAAACAACGACCTCTAGCACCACCGAGAATTTGTTGCTCAGGCATTTGAGCTCTCAGAATCTATCACCTTCTTGCCTGAAGTCCCTCTACGAACAAACAGTGTCTTTCCCCGACTTTGACCTGCCAAGGTCATGATGCGCAAGAGCTCCCGGTAGAGCTGCGACTCCTTCCGCTCGGACTTCTCCAGCTGTACCACCACCTGAGCAAATGGGAGGTGAGGAATCTGACTGAACCGAACCGAGTTAAAGCATCTGTCAGGCACAGGAAACTTGGCCTTCAAAGCTTCAGGCATTCATGTGTTTGCGGTGGCTATCTAAGCTATCTGTGACTTACCCCCCCAAAAAAAGGAACTCACCCGTGGACATGTTGTCTATACATTGTACCCTCAGTATGATCTGGGCATCATGGAGGTGAAAGCAACGTTTGATAAAGGCAACTTAGCAGAATTGGGTAACCAGGATCGTTCCCTATTGCCCAAGAGTAGAGCGACGTGGCAAAGCGTGTCCGCGAGTGATTGCACGCTGGTACGCTGGTACGCTGGCGGTGGCTAGCTGCGCTGATTGCGCTGGTTACACTGGTCACGCTGGTTACGCTGGTTACGCTGGTCACGCTGGTTACGCTGGCTACGCTGGTTACGCTGGTTACGCTGATTACGCCGGTTACGCCGGTTACGCCGGTTACGCCGTTTACGCCGATTACGCTGGTTACGCTGATTACGCTGATTACGCTGATTACGCTGGTTACGCTGGCTACGCGGGTTACGCTGGTGACGCTGGTGACGCTGGTGACGCTGGTGACGCGGGTCACGCTGGTGACGCGGGTTACGCTGGTTACGCTGGTCACGCTGGTTACGCTGGCTACGCTGATTACGCTGATTACGCTGCTTACGCTGGTTACGCTGGTTACGCTGGTTACCCTGGTTACGCTGGTTACGCTGGTGACGCTGGTCACGCTGGTCACGCGGGTGACGCTGGTTACGCTGGTGACGCTGGCTGGTTACGCTGATTACGCTGATTACGCTGGTTACGCTGGTTACGCTGGTTACGCTGATTACGCTGGTTACGCTGGTGACGCTGGTGACGCTGGTGACGCTGGTGACGCTGGTTACGCTGTTTACGCTGCTTACGCTCATTATGCTGATCACGGTGTAGACGGTGTAGACATAAGCGGTGTAGACAGTGTAAACGGTGTAGACGGTGTAGACGGTGTAAACGTTGTAGAAGGTGTAAACGGTGTATAACGGGTGTAAACGGTGTATAGACGGTGTAGACGGTGTAAACGGTGTAGACGGTGTAGACGGTGTAGATGGTGTAAACGGTGTAACCGGTGTAAACGGTGTAAATATAAACGGTGTAGGCGGTGCAAACGGTGTAAACGGTGTACCGAAAAATCGTGGACACTGATTGCGCCAGCAATGTAAGAGTAGCAACACTATGCACCACCAGGAGTATGAACTTACACAATCGCTTAGGCTTGTCAATGCGGCTTGGATTCTAAGTTCTATGTGAGTTGATTTGTGTTTTACATGCAGTTTGACTTTTTTGATTGGTAGACTGAGATCAACGTCTTGTAGGGGTGTAACTGCACATAGCTCATGCCTTCTGTTCAGAAGTCCACAGGCCTGGGCAAAGGAGCTTTGAAGCCTCTGCCGCAGCAACTCCGAGCGCTCTAAGCGCGCCTCCAAGTGCTCCAGCGTCAGCGCCATGGCTTCGACCTGGAAGTCTCTTGGGTTTCTTCGTGCGGAAAGCACCCCCCGATTTTAGAGTCATGTCGGCTCACTGGTGACCCACCCTGTTGAAACACAAACGGAGTGGCGCCCAATTTCCTGCCATCAAACCTGCAAAGGGACCTTACTTTGCTTGCTTGAGGTCATGTATGAATCATGCACCCCAACAAGTAAAGAAGAAATTGGTATCCCAACCTCTGCTCTTGCCAGGCTCTCTTGCTCCTCAGGACTCTTCGGCCTGTGGGGCCATGCCTCCCACGCTGCCCGCAACAGCGCCACCAGCGAGAAGGCCTGCGCCGCCAAGCTCAACCGTGGCATTCGAAGGGCCCAGGAGCTGATGGCGCCGGCGCTTAAGGCGAAGGCAAAGGAGGCCAAAGGCTTTGGCCAAGTATGGCTAGGACACATCTCCTCCATGGCCGCGGCCCTTTGCACTGGCCAGTGAGGGAGCCCCCCACATTCGTGAGCCAGGCTTGAACTGAAGGAGGCGGGGGAGGCGCGGTGCACACCATTCGAAGCGCTAGCTCATCATGTAGACAAGAGCAGCCCCACAAATAAGAACAAAAACACATCCAGAATGCTCAAAAGCTTTCTTGTCCAAAGCTTCTTCTTATTCTTCTTCTTCAGGGAAACACTAAGACCGTGGCCACTGATGCGGCCAAGCATCCGGGACCGTGGCGTAGGTCTGCGCACCCACGCTTCCAAGGACCTAGTGGGCGGGCAAAATCGGTCAGGATGAGAGTGATGTGTGCGCTGTATTTGGATTGGCATCATCAAATCCCCACACCAGCACAACCAAATTATACAAAAATCCATATGATGCCCCTAGTTGGCACAGGGTGCCCTGACTTTACCTTCTGCCTGACTTCGCCACCCGACCTGCCCCGCCTTCTGCCCCACCGACTTGCCGGACTGGCTGCCGGCGGCCACGATGGTGCCATAGCCAATGGCCGGCACCACGGCGCCCACCTCACCACAGGGGTTGGGAGGCACCATGGGTGGGGGACAACAGAAGGCTGACGAAGGCCTTTGATCGAACTCCCCCCCAAAAGGACTTGAAAGCAGCGTGAATGATTGTTGTCCACGTTGTGTGTTGCTGATTGGTGAAGGAAAGAAGGGGGGGAGAGATCGGGAGCTCCGCAGTCAATTGGCATCCTTCAACTGCTGGGGATGCTGAATTTGATTCGGCATCTTTTGTGGTTACATGTGATTCCCTTCTTTGATTTGTTAAATAACAATCAAAAACACACACAGGAATCTCTGATTATGCGTGATTGAACATGGTTCGCTACGTCCTGCACTCGAGTCCTGCTAGGATATAACCAGTTTAACCAAAGGAACATTAGGGCATAGGGCATGGTCCCATTCAGTGGGGCCAACCTCCCCCATGTGAATGGGCAACATGGATGCGGAATCGATGTGGCTCAAACTTTATGTGCTCACCTGATCGGGAGAGCATGTTCAACTGCAGCCAAGTGACTGGGATTCCCATCCTCAATTGATGAATCAGTGAATCTTCAAACATGTTTCCTATAGTAGCGGCTATAGTCACATCATTACACTTTCTCCTCTAAAGCTTCTGAGTTTGCAATAAGTTGGTTCCCACGTCTCCAATGACCAAGTGAGCAGCCCATCTACCCCATGGTAGGCTTCTTCATCCATCATCGTCCGAATGAAGGCATCCACGGACAGCATCTCGACCTTCACGATGACCTTGTCTTCCGGACAGTCCTCCCAAGGTCGAAACAATGAACAGCGCTTGGTCGAAGCAGCATGAGCTGGGTGGCCATGTCTGATTAGCTAGGTGTTCCCAAACCCTTCCTTGGAGCCAGCTACCACAGTGGAAAACCTGCCCTGAAACTCGCGCTACATCGGGGCGGTTCCCCGGCCCCCGGGTCGAGTGCAATTCGGGTCGACCAAGCTCTTCATCTCCTCTAAGCTCACCTGCTCAGTCACGAGGGTCGTATCCAGCGCAGGGTCATAGACGCCCTCCGGGCGCCTCGCCAGCGTCCACTTGGAGTTCACCATGGCCGCCATGGCGTCCACGATGGGAGACGTTGAGAGTCTACTGGGAGTTGACAGTTCGGCCCCTCAAACTTGGAAGATGGTGCAGAGGTTTGCAGAGGACAGTAGTCCCAGTAGTCCTTCCAAAAGACGTCCTTCCAAAAGACTATATGTGTCGCTTGTTTTTGGCAATGTCACCTTTCGTATCAGAAATGGTGGACCAATTGATTACTTTCTCTATATATATATATAAGATTTGTTGGCCTTTGCTGCTGCATGTTCTTAAGATCTGCGTGGCATGGATGCTGCAATCTCTGCCATTCCACGCTGCGATGTTCTTGAGTGGAGGTCAATGGCCTCCAGTAAAACTTCCAAGCACCGCACTAGTTGCCCAAATAGATATGCTTTCTACCACATGGTGAGGGGCACGTTCAACTCTGCTGAGGAACTTGAAAGGGCCTTGGTCCAAACCCAAAGGATCTAGGACGCAGGTAGCAGCTCAGCCAAATGCTCGGTGATCCCAATCAACGTTCGCATGTTAAAACTTGGAAAGCCTCAAGGCGATTCGATTTTTGAAAATGCTCTCTTGCCCAGACACTGTGGCAGCGTGGCATATTTAGCTACATTGGAGTGGTTTCAGGGGTTCATGTAAGGGTGTATAGTGTGTATTGTGTATATGTATATACATATCTAAGACATATAAATCAATATATTGTATATATGGATGCCATACACGGATGGTCTAGGTTATTAGGAGTGGACGTCGTTTGTGTCCCTTGGCTCACACGGCGGATCCAACCGTCCGGCGGGACTCGTATGGACTCGCGAGTCCGCCTGGGCAGTTTGCACCTGTGACACCTGTGAGTAGTACTGCACCAGCGCAGCCTGAGAAGGCAAAGAGGCAAAACGTATAGCAATGACCAGTGAAACGCATTGAAAAGCACCAAAACAACATCTGCAGGAATTCGTCAATGAGGAAGGGCCTATGTACAGTAGAGTCTGCGTTTTGTTGTGGTTCTTTTCTGTCACAACATGACTGCAAAACGTCTGATTCTCTGACCCTGCTCGATCTGCCGAACATCACACGATGTACTCGAGTCTGTAGAATCGACCCCTTTTTTGTGCGACCAAAAACAGGATGGAAAGGGAACCGGTCAAACGGTTTAAAATGTAAGTGCTCCATACACCGGGGAACAACATGCAAAAGACGTGGGAAAACAAAAGAACAACACATTGGAACACATCATGTCTCTCCACCTCATCCTTGTCCACTGTCCACCCGGCATGATATGTAAGACTGGTATGACATGCCAAAACTCATTCAGAAAACATGAGCATCTGGAACTTCATCAGCATCTTCCAACAGTTTCATATTCAAACATCTTCTGCTTCTGGCAGATCTTGCATGATCTTGCCATCTTTTCTGCGGGTGACCTCGAAGTCAAACACAGCGGTCTCTCTGGTCGTCTGTCCGCCTGCTGAGTGGCATCCAAGGTGGGATATGCAGCAGCGATGTACTGCTGCAAAGCCTAGGTGCGCGACATGCAAGAACCTGGGAGTTTAGAGTCTAGAAAGACCAACAATAGGTTGAATACACTGTTGAATACATTGGAACACCCTTAAGGCGGCTTGGGAATCGCCGTGGAGTTTATTGGAGTTTATTGAAAGTTTGACATGGACATGCTGAGGTGGTCAGCACTGATCTGGTGTACGATCAACAAGAAATGAGTGATTGCAAGGCCTTGATTCCCCCCACCACCATCCACCAGGAGGCCCGGAAGGCACGAAAAGGAGTGTGGCGGCCGGCGGATATTTTCGAGCATGGCGACTATCATAGCGACGGCGAAGGTCCTCGACCTCGACTACGCTAAACATCAATGGACATGTTCGACCGAGCAAAATCGTCGTAGGATTGCATCCAATCTCGGTACAGGAATTCTGAGCTTTATTGAAATGCAGCCACCGAAAGCCTGCAATCCAACTAGAGATCACGGAGTCTGGTAGCTTTGTCAAATAACCGCATATGGAACCAGCTGTGCCTTGGAGGCTTCGAACCGCACAGCTGTTCGTTGGTGATGTTCACCTCGATCATCTCAGCGACCTTCAGCCGATCAGGTCTTGCTTCAGCCAGCCGATCGCCGCACAGAAAGCTCAACCATCCAGTGGCTGACTCCTCAGCAGCTTTGGCCTTCTGCGTGGTTGAAGTCTAAGATCATCATGACGAGGTCCACGAGCTTCTATTTGCCCATGGGACCAGTCCGTGGTGTGGGCACCAAACACCACAAAGACATTATTGATGAGGATTTGAGGCGAGGCATTCGCACCAGGATTAAAAACATCTAAATGCACATGAACCAACAATGGAAGGGTTCTTCAGGAGAAACTGACGTGTTGCTGCATCCACTCTCAGATTACCTTCATCATCCTTCATCCACCATTTAAAAACTCCCCCGCTTCCTGTCAAAGAATTGCTTGACGATAGCATCCATGCAAGTAGCGCTGAGCACGCTTTGGGTTGCTCAATCAGCCATGTGTTGTTATTTTACTAACTATCAGTGAGCTGCAGCGATAAAATGCATTGGTTCAAATACGAGCCACGGAGTGTGGAATCGTCAGCCATCTTAATGAGCGGCAGCCAGCAAGCGCCCTGTTCTAAATCACAAAAAAGCCTCACCATGTCAGACTCCGTGATTCAAAGAGTCAGGAATTGTGAGGCTGGTCAGTAAGCTACAGTACGCAAACGTCCTGTGCCCAATAACGGTCACAGAGTTCGGAATTGTCAGGCTTGTGAGCGAGCTAGTGATCTGCAGCCAATGAAAGCCTTGTGTCCAATTGCATTCACAGAGTCGGGAATTGTCAACTGCAGCCAATAAATGTACAGTCTTCAATTTCAGTCACAGAGTCGGGAATTGTCAGGCTCGTCAGTGAGCTGCAGCTGGCAAATGCCGCGTATCTAAATAATTGCCATAGATTCCAGAATTCTGGCCGGTCAGCAAGCTGTAGCCTGCAAATGCAGTGTCCCTAATTTCACACAGTCAGAAATTGTCAGGCTTGTCAATGAATTGCAGCCATTGAAGGCCCTCCATCCAATAACAGCAGACCACAGAGTCCAGAATTGCCAAACTCGTCAGTGAGCTGCAGCCTGCAAATGCCCTGTCGCCCATCTCCATCCCAGAGTCAGGAATCGTCAGGACATTTCAGGAAGAGCTTCAATGATTGCACTTCTCCGCTCATATGCTGCACTGGAACATGCCGGAGTTCTCATCTGGTCCTATATCTGCTATTTTGGCACTGGAAGACAATGGCTTGAGACGGCTGCGGAAGATGAGAGGGCGATTGATAAGTCGATGTATTAAACATGATATGATATGGTTACACGATGAGACACGCGTGCAAACTGCAAGGCACGTGCACATAATCGCTACAGTGCTACTTTTTTCAGATTATATATATATATAGGTGATGTGACATATCCTTTCCAGTATGCTTTCGACAAAGTCTGTGCAAAATGAGGTACGGTAGAGGGTAAGGGATCAAAATAAAATTAAAAATAGAATCAAAAAATATATTCAACGGGGATCAATAAAAAAATAAAAAGGTGATCAAAAAAATATTCTAGCCCACTGAGGATGGTTGGGGTAGTAGAGGAGAGTGTACCTCCCCAGGAGCTCCCTCCTAGTAGGGAGCTATTTCCACTGGTGAACCATTTTTCGAGTAGGGCTACTCAATGACTGGACGGCAACCTTATCGTTGGGTACCTACTTTCTTCCCAGGGAGCTGCCTCTAGTAGAAAGCAATCAAGCCTCTATTTGCGCAAGCAGGGGACCAGGAGATCGACAGACGAGCGCCGTAGGAGAGCAAAAGACCAGCGGACCAGGAGACAGAAGGACTAGGATACCAGGGGACCAGCGGACCACAGGACCAGAGGACCAGGAGACCGGAGGACTAGGGGACCAGTGGACTAAAGGACCAAGGGACCAGGGGACCAAAGGACCAGTGGACCAGGGACCAAAGGACCAAGGGACCACATTACCAGAGGACCCGCAGACCACAAGGCCAGGAGAGCAGCAGAAGAGGCCTATCAAGGAATATTTTTTTTGATTCGCTTTTTTTTTTGATACTGTTATTATTATTTGTTTGATGCTCTTTTTACTTTTTTTTGATACCTATGCCTACGGTAGAATCCACTGATCCACTTGAATGACAACCTCTGACTGGATGATCAAAAGTTGAGAAGATTCAGGGTCCTGAAGAATTTGCCGCTACAACCATCACACGAAACGCGTTGCCCTTTCTCGAAGAAACGCCCGCTTTCCCAACTCAAACCGGAAGTGGCTCCGTGCATCGGCATCAACTGCTCGCCATGGAGCTGCAGTGGCCGCAGTGTTCCCTGCCGTCGTCGCGCTTGGGTAGAAAGGGGAAAGTGCCGGGGCAAGTACCTGGGCGAAGGGACATGACGGACATGGCGTTCGGGCGTGGCTTGGGTGTGTGTGTGCCACCAAAAAGCCAAAGAACTCACGAAAACATGTTTAAATGCCAAATGCATGGCGATTGTCATATTCCTTGGCTGACATTCAAGGTCATTTAAGGTATAGTGTACTTGAAAATGGCTGTCTGTCGAAGATGTTAAGCCACCTTTATTGGAGGAGCACGTACCCGATCATGATGATCTGAAAAGAAAAAGTGCTGAACATCGTCACTATTGTCGGAACAAACAGCGATCTCCCATCATCCAGGATCGCTGACTGACGTGCTGTTTGTGCATCATTTCCCGTGTTTCTTTCGTCCGACTTCCAAGGCTGCTGCATACTGACCACCCAAGCCAGGCCTAAGACTGAGGCAAATGAGGTTCGGTTCGAGTTGTTCTGATCTGTTTTGTCATGTGTTTCGGAAAAAGACCTCCGGAATCACAGACTTGACTTGTCTTGTTTGGGCCTTAATATGCCTTAATTAAGTTTAATTAAGTTTAATTTAATGCTCGTACATTTGTATCATCAAATACTTGCAGGAATTCCGTGGAAGTCAGCTTCGCCAATATCCATGCAAAGCAGGGCGTGTGCCTTGCAACACCAGCATAACGAAAGCAACCTGGACCTTCAAAGGGGTGTCCCGTCTGGAAATCCACAAGTACCTGTAGTAGGGCATTCGGCATTTCATTGGAGACCCAGAGACCCCGTAAGGAAGGTGCTGGAAGAAACACACCATGTTTCAGTGGCCAATCTTTGGAAAACATCACAGTCAACTCTGTCAGACGCTGGACCCTAGCCATAGCCCTTAGGGCTTCTCCGGTTGGTGCTTTCGGCCGAAAAACAGGTGACACTGAGCCCCCTGAGCACCAAACATCAAAGTGGCCACAGTATACTGCTGAACCGGCATCGCCTGAGCAGTCCGAAGGGGAATGTGTAATTATATATGGTCAGAAATGATGGGTTAGGATCTCTCCAGAAACCTGCTTACAAAGGCCCCTGCAATGATCTCATCATTTGGAAAGTCAAAGCGGCACCAGAACACTCGCGGTTTTACAGCTCTGTTCAGAACCTACCCGCCCAAGTTGGAGACATGCAATAGATTCCGTGATATTCCACGTGGGGGTATGAGCTCATCATACCTCCCAGGCGAAATAGATGTCAGGGAAGCATCTTGTACAGCTTCCCATGCTTTGCGCTACTGTGTTTGTAGCAGCGCCAAAATCGTAAGGCGATGAATTCGGAAAAAAAACGCAATCAGCTGCAGCTGAATTGGGCCAGAAACTAAGCAGCCTGAGACAGCCTGAGGCACCACAGCTGTTCCCATCTCCTTTCTGGGACCAACGGGGCTGCCTTATCCTCAGCTCAAGAGTATGGCGGCAGCATAGCTCCTGAGACTCGTGTAGCTCACTCTTCATGCCAGGCTAGCCTGCAGGGCTGCCGAAATTATCAAAGAAATCCCCAAGAAGCAGCCACCCCCGCCTGGCAAGACTGTGTTTCCAACATCCAGCGCTCGAATTTCACTGTTCACGTGTGCAGGTCGTGCGGGCGGCACGACCTGTTTTTTGGATTATATAATGAGGGCTACAGGATAATATGTGTGAGGAACAGGGTTATTATTGTTCATGCACTTCCTTGAAGGTTGACTGCATCTCGCAGCCCTTTTTGTTGTGAGGGCCTGATGGCCTTGAAAGCCTCCCACGAAGGAGGAACCCCAACCAAAGAAGCGTTGAAAAAGAACAGCGGATCTGTTTTGTGCATTTGGTTTGGGAACGTGTGTTTTCGGTCATGTCCGCAGAAGGGTATCAACAGGTTATGAGCCCAAAACAAGCTACTTCTGCACCACCCTCGAGCTCGTGCATGCTTCGCCGCCGCCGATCGATGGAGCATGGCCCTTCGCTGGCTCTTCCTCCGCCAGAAGAGGATGCTGCAAGAGCCTCTGCAGAGGAGGCTGGAAAGGTGAAGGAAAGAGAAGGGGTGGAAAAAGATGAAAAAGAAGAAAAGGGTTTGATGACACCCACAAGGTCTACAACAGGACCACCGGGTTCCGCAACTGGGCCTACTACGGAGATGGAAGTGTTTCGTAGTGGTGGTTCCAAGCCCAGTGCAAAAGGTTCGACTGAGCATCCAAAAGGTCGGCCGGTGACTTTGGCACCCCTGGTTCCTTTGCAGCAGCAAATGGCACCGCTGTTCACGAAGGAGCAGTTGAAAGAGTCGAGAGCT